GTGTTGATATTTTGCGGTTCACCACTTAAACTACTACGATAGTATAGAGAAATCCAGTTGTCGCTAGCTGGTGTCCGAATACTGTGTCATTTGTAGCGGGGTAGCCGAGCGCTCGTCACCAGCTAAAAATAATCTGTTTTCTTTCTTAAATTATGACTATTACAAAATAGCCATGCTTTTCCACCTGGTAAAAACAGCTCACCAGACACTCTCTCCCACTCTCCCGTGACAGATTTGTGAAATGTTCCACTGTTTGGAGAGTGTTTGTCATGTTCCGATCATAAAGGATAGTTTAAAACAGCAATTAACCACCCAGGAGCAAAATTCAGCCTTCAAACTTGAAAGAAATAATTATTTGACATTTATCGCGGTATGTATCGAAATCGAACGATATGAATTTTGTTTATCATGATAACATTTTTGGCCCTATCACCCAGCTCTATTTTCAACCAATATTTTAAAGGCCCTGTTCAAACTTGAAATGAGCGTCTATCTCGAATGATCAAGTCATAAGTGGTCAGAGACATATAGCTGTTCACACATGCCATTTCCGTGGGTCTCGACTAAATCTCTAGTCACCGGGTTTTCTGATTGGAGGAAGGGTACTACCCACATTTACTACATCAGTCCCTCGCTGTGTTTGTCAGTTGCACCTTGGAGGAGATGAAAAATGAACATGCGACTGCTTTCATCTCTGCTGTGATGATGCAGTCGATAAATGACCTGTTCACACTACGTGATTTTAGCCCTGATTTTCCACTCGCCAACAGTTTTTGGAGATTGCAGAGAAAAGCCCAAGATCGGAGGCAAATCGCCTTTCACTCAGGTCTCACATCGTAGGTTGTTAAAAGACACCATCAAAGAGACTCACCAGTGCCTCACAGAAGCCTGAAAGATATCAAGCAGGCTAAATATTTAGGGCTGTTGGGGCGTCCAAATCCTGTAGTGAAGTGTCGTAACCCGCACAGTGAGTGCGGCTATAAGCAACAGCCAATAAGAGCACAAGACGGAGTGAAAGGGTACCTGGGGAGAAGTCATACGTCAAGCATGACTACAACAAAAGTTTTCTCACACATATTCCTTTCTTTTTCGCTGCAAATCAGTGCACAAACAATTCCCTGTCTAGAGTGCGCTACCACGTCATTACCCATGTCACTTCTCGCTTGTGTTTTCATGATAAATTGCAGTTTGGAGATCAGACAGACTTGTCGGAGATCCCTTTTGGTGAAAGATCTTGTAACGTGTGACCCTCTATCATGGATAAGTCATGTAACCGCCCTTTATGACCAAACCATAACAGTTTCAAGATAACCGATTACAAGACTGTACAGTGATCCGAAAACTTTGACAGTTATATAGTGTGTCTGTGGCTGGAGGTGTTGTGTTTTTTTTTGTTTTTTTTTTTGGTCAAAAGCTTTCATGCTTCCAATGTTATGTGATTTGTATGTGTCCCTGACCTCCTCTGAAGGTGGTTTCAGTGATTTGGATCACAGTGTGTCTTCAAAACCCTGTGCACACTTTCACCGACTACTTATCAGATCACCTAGGATGCATGCTAATGCCAGGTGTGAATGAAATTTTGTATTAATTTTGTATTTATTTTGTTCTGAAAGAGCAGCACCTTTAGTTGAAGCTGGGCTACTGTGCTATGGCCATTCCACTGAAGCTCAATTTACATAGAAAGGGCAAAGCAAGCATTTATTTGCGGTTTATGGTACATGCTCCTTGTACATGTAGGGTACATTTGTTGTTTCCCTACAGGATGTCTGAATGTTTGTTTTTTCAGAGGTACTCATTAATGAAATGGCTAATCGTCGTCACTTGCTTGGATGTTTTTTTAAGTGGCAAATTCCATTTTGTAAAAGAGTTGGTCAGGTAGCTTTACAGGCTTCTTATCTATGCTGAGCTTTTTGCCTTGTTGCATATGACTTGGTAAAAAGGAATGAGTGCCTCCAGCATCTTGCTTTAATAAAGGTTAGCATATCTAATCCTTCAGCAAAGAGTTGCTGGCAACACATGTTTCAGTGTTGATGGAGAGGGTAGATCGCTTTCAATTTGATGGTTTGATTCTTTGATAAAGATGATTTTGGTTTACAGCAGCCCAGTCCATTAAGGCATCGCCCACTTCTCTCTCTTCGGACTAAAGGAAGTCCTTTACAATCCCATTTCCTTCCTTCCTGCCTACAGCAGAAATAAATAATCTACCCCCGGCAGGCTATAACAAGCCGCTAATATAATCAGAGCCTTTTGGAGAAATGAATGAGTGTGGCATGGGCCTGGACTTTCTCGTACCACCTGAATGTGTGTGTGTGTGTGCGGGGCATCATTGTGCTGAGATGACTGAGCTGATAGGCGTCGCTGGAAAATTTGAAGACCGCTTCCACCCTCTCCGCCGAACCCATCCACCACCTGACTAAAAATAGTGCAGAGAAAAAGAGGAAGGGGGAGAGGAGGGAGGCAGCACATAAGAGCTATGGCTCTCCTCCTGCTTCTCTCTCTCTCTCTCTCTCTCTCTCTCTCACTGCTGTCATTTTTCTGTTCTCTCGCTCTTTTCTCTTTGTTTTATTCGTCTGTGAACAAAGCAGTTTGACCACTACTGCAATCTCTTCAGTCCTAACAAGCAGTCACCAAACTGACATTTATGCAGACTGTCCCCTTCCTATTCTAGGGGTTGGTTTTTTGACTCCCCTCTCTGTGTCAGTCCTCTAATACGCAACCAAGTGAACTGGAGAAAAGAGCTTCAGCAAATGCGTATGAACATGTTAGCGCCCCCCAAAACCCTAATTTTTCTATACGTCTGAACGTTTTGATTGGTCGTTAGCCGCCTGGTTCAGTGGGCTATAGCTTGAGCCACGGAGGCGGAAGGAAGGCCATATTCAGGTCACAGGGATCTGAATATGGAGGATAACTAGTGCTAACCCTGTTGCACTCCCAATGGCGAAAAAGAGTATTAGCAAAATTAGCATGACATTTTTATCGCCTGGATTATGCTAGGCTTAAGTCGCATTGTCTAAATGCAGACCCAGTTAGCTCTGCTAACCAATCAGCGTGCCGCATTTTAGTGAGATGCCGTTAGGTGTTTATTGGATATAGTGTCCATTCAGAAGGTCCTTGACCATCGAAGTTACAGGATCTGTATCTAGAAAAGGGCAAGGTAAGCTATGGTCATGCAAGGTATGGCTGTTATTAAGAAATTTTAATCTGATGAGAGTAGCCTGTCTGTTCGAATAGACAGTTACCTGAAAAGTTGCCAAAAACAAAAATTGTATTCTGACTAGTGAGAGCCAGGAATCAGGCTTTAGGTTTTGCAGTAAGAGTTTGACAATCTTGATTTCAGTGCGTTAAGGTACTTTTCCTGACAAGCAAAACTGTAGCCTGTAATGCTGTGTAGTAGCTAATTTGTGATTTTGAAGTATTTTTGGTTAAAAGTCTTTTTGGAATAACTGATAGTTAATTACCCGGCAAACCAAACCCTGCTTTGGGTAAAAGCATGCTAACTGACTGGCATCTGGCACCTGCTTCCAATTTGGGTTTTCACTCTGGAGGATTGTTTTATTTTCAGGTTTTAGCAGTGATACATGTGTTAAAGTGGGACTGTGTGAGTGAAAGTGTTAGCGGTAAGCGTGTTGGCCATTGGATTTGGGTCAGCAGGAGAGTCACTGCTTTTAGGATCATCAGCAGATTCGGCGTTAACCGGATTTACATGGACGAGCTGAATCAACGGTGTCCCTGGATTACTGGTGTGACATTGGAGCGAAGGGGAGGAGAACAGGGCTAGCTCTTTGTATCCCTGGCCACTGCTTTGACACACTGTCAGGGCTTCCTACAGTTTCCCTTTCTCTCTGTCTCTCTCTCTCTCTCTGTCTCTGTCTCTCTCTCTGTCTGTATTTTCCTCTCATGACCAGTTGGTCCGACAGACTGGACTAGCACTCATCCGCGCTAAACCTTTAAGGCTTTTTTTTTCCTGGGTGTCAAAGAAAGGGTACGCTTTGAAATTTTATAGTTAAAGTAGGGCCTTGCCACACCTGCATAGAATGGATCAAAGCTCAGTCTGGCCTTGGGGAGGGTTATAATGGTCTCTGAGATGCTGTGATTTGCAAAATGGGATGTTTGCAGCATGCTCTCGTAGGTTGTAGACTGCTGCAGCTCTTATATTCGAAATTTGAAGAGAAACCAGGCTACGCCTTGCACGGCTCCATCTGCCTGCTCTTCGCCCCCACTTTTAGCCAAAGACAAAATCTGAACGTTCCCCCGTTTTAGTAGGCCAAAGGGACGGGCCGTTGCTGTGAAGCCGGCCGGATTTGCTGTGGGATCTTGTCGGTCATGATTTGTAAATAGCTTTCTCTCTGCACCAGCACAGAAATGGTGATCTTTAGCACAGGCTAGCTGCAGAACCCTGTTGCTTAGTAACAGCTTCGCGGGTTGGCAAGGACACGAGCGGGTTCTCTCCAGAAGCCAGCAGAGAGAGCGAGCGAGTCTGCCATCGCTGGATCAGTTTTTAATATGGCACATTTATTGCCTTGCTTGGCCTTGTTGGTTAAGATGGTTAAGCCTAGGGCTGAGCGTTGGGCTGCAGGTCTTCTCCATAGACCTGTAAAATGTCATATGTGCTCTTCACACATTGCTGTTACATTTAGTCTCATGGAATGGCTTGTCTAAGGGTTTCGTTTGTGTTGCTGAATATTGCATGAAATGGTGGTTTGCAACATAATTTCTTTTACTGAAGTTGCTGAAGGCAGCCTCTTGCTCAGAAATCTTATGTCACTACAACATGGCAGTTTGAGGATTTTATAGCTGGGGAAAAGTAATTTATTCTTTTACAATCGATCACATTAGTTGAGCTAATAGAAATGGCAAAGGATAGATTATGTTAAAAGAATTTGTGAGTGGATGTTCTTAGTAACCACTGTCTACTGAAGTTTATGCCAGTAGCTTGACCTCACCTTTTCTCTCTCTTCTTTTTTTTTTATTTATTTATTTTTTTTCCCCCTCATTCTCAGATCAGTGAGTAACCCAGCGCGAGGCAGGAGTGAAGTACATCATTTAGCAGAGGAAAATGAGCGAACTCGACCAGCTACGTCAGGAGGCTGAGCAGCTGAAGAACCAGATCAGAGTGAGTGCACACATGCTCATTCTCATGTGCTTATGCTTGTCCAGTGTGATACTGTGATATCCGTAGCAGAATGTAATATATAATGTAATATTCTGTATATACTCCCAGTATGATCTTCCCATTTGTTTGGATTTCCACACTATGGTTGCGCTTTGTGATTTCTGGACACACATTTCTTTTTTGTTTATTTCAATTTAATTTTTAAAGTTTTTTAATGGAAATTGAATGGAAGCATGTGTGTAAGTAATACAAAACTGTTTGTTGTGTAATAATGGAGCCAATGTAGGTAATTTTCAACTTCTCAGTTGTTACTAATTCATACTGGTGTCCCTTCTGCTGTTTGGAGATTGCGTGGGTTTGAAGTGGGGTGTGCAGTATGGCAAAAATGCATCATCACAATACTTCAAGACATTTTCAGGATAGACAATATTTATCATGATATTTAGTTTATAAAATACTATTAAAACTGAGTATAATGGTATTTCTTCAATGCTACAGTATGTCTAGTTAAAGAGATACTTATATGCTATATTTAATGAATCATGTAATTGTTTAGTTGTCTTTATATAGTGACTATGTCTATGATATACTCAGAAAAACTTATTATTGCATAATTTATCAGGACAATGATAAAATATTGTCATATTGCCCAATGCTGAAAGTAATAATCTTAAATTTAAGAATAATAAAATGTTGTTGCTGGATCTTACTTTCATTAATGCATATATCAGAATATGGTGATATAGTGCAGTACAGGGGAATTTTTGAGGTTTTGATCAACCACAGAAGTAAGAAGTCTGCATGACTGACAGATTCCTTGTCTTTCCCTTACTGGCCATTACTGAGGTACTGACTGGTAGTGTATTTGTGGCACAATAATATTATCTCATGATTGTTACTGATAAAATACTACAGGTCTGTGCCTTTTATGGAATTTAAAGTCTGATAACGTGTATTTCTGCATAGTTCTTATAGCATTTTACATGTTTGTGTTTTAAAAGGACATCACTCTAAATTTTAACCTTCAAAGCTGGTAGTTAAGATGTTTTAAGCAGTGAATCAATTGTACTATAGGTTGTATGAAGTAGTTTAACTAAAGCCTGTCAAATTTTTCCAGGATGCGAGGAAAGCATGTGCAGATGCCACCCTGTCTCAGGTGAGCCCCTGCATTGAACTTTTGATCACGAGTCACACATTAGTCAGTTGGGACACACTAGTCAATTACATTGTTATCTATTAGTCATACCTTTTAAGAGAATGGAGGGTGTGCAAGGTTCAGATGTTTTGATTGGGAATTCTGTTTATGTATTTGTGTCTTATTCACAGATTACAGCTAACATAGACCCCGTCGGACGAATTCAGATGCGCACTAGACGGACACTGAGGGGTCACTTGGCTAAAATCTACGCCATGCACTGGGGCTCTGACTCAAGGTAATCCCATTGAAGCTGTGTGCTAGCTATCAACTCACAAATCCACTTCCACAATCCTAAGCGCAAAGACATATAAAAACGTGGTAACACTCTCAAGCTTAAGTCACTCAGGACTTGCCTGAAATGTAGGAAAAATTTTAAAAAGCAGTCTCACTTGGCGTGATGAACACCTTGGAGACAGCTCTGTGACGTAGATGCTGTGAGTGTTGTTTAAAGCAAAGGGTGGGAAAGTGAGGTATAAAAAGAAGAGGAACTGTACTGGGCGTTCTAGCCTAAGATAATGGTGAAAAATATGCACATGTGAGAGAAGCAGCAGAACAACGCAGTCCCTGGTCTCCAGGAGGCTAATTGGGAGGCTGCAGGTGAGGTTAGGCCCCAGAGAAACTCTCTTTGCTTTGTCATGGTGCTGTACTTCCCTAAAGGGATCACACAGGAGCAACGAATCATGTCCTGCATGTTCTGAGGAAACATCATATTTTACCACATGGACTTAAATCTTTGTTGCATCGTTAAAACAGTGAAAAATGCTGAACAGTCATAGGACTTGTTTGTGGGCTTTGCTCTTTTTTTGTATCTGGAGGCACAATGATGAGGCAAAAATAGCTACCTAATTATGAGGGGGACAGTTCTGTGTCGTGGACAAGTAGGTTGTGGCCCCCTGACTAATTGCAGTCCTCAAAACTTTGGTTAGATTTTTTTTTTCTTGACCCTAATTTGTAATGTTAGATGGGTCAAGTAAGACAAGTAGATAATTATAATCGTTATTGTAACAGAAAACCAACCTTAAGTACAGTACAGATGGCCCATATGGTGGGGGGGGGTGGGGTGGTAAATTTTTATTAATTTTTTTTTTTGGTCCAAATTCAGTCAGTCGCCCACAACCTTTAACTTTCAAGTTTTGGGGTTTTGTTCCTGCTTTCATAAACCACACCAGTGTGGTCAATCAGTAGATGTAGCTGAACATGGTTAATCCGCTGGAGGAGAGGACTTTAATTCCACTCCTGCATTATTGGGCTGGGTTCGGACAGCAAGATAATGCTAGTCAATCTCAGCTAAGCATCTTATTCTCGAGCAACAGTGAGTGTAGCCTAGCACCGTTCACTGTTAACTTTCCTTCTTTTGTTTTGTTGGAGATTGGAACACTGTTTCTTGTAAATCAACAAGATAGATCTTATCTTTTAAAAGTAAAATGTGCTGCTGTTTAAGTAGTTCCACTCAGCCCCTCCCTCCTTTTTTATTTTTTATCTTTTATTTTTATTTTTTTAAATAAAATTGGTCTCCCTTATGTAGGTGGTGCAAAAACTGTGTTGTGGCTTTATACTATGCTCATCTTAAAGTTTTCTCTGGCTTTCCTGATAGCATACCACAGTTACCAACCAATTCCTGACCTGTCCCTTGTGCAGAAACATTGTGTGGGTGGTTTTGCATATTCAAAATGACTCTGAGAAGGAAGTTGTATATGACCACGTTGCGTGTCAGTGTAATGTGTGTTTACTGTGAAGGTGGTGTTTGATTACCTAAATATCAGAGTACAGTTCAGCTATGAAGTCTCGGGGGAATGTCACTACCTTTCTATGCAAATCGCAGCATTCACACACACAAAGGGCAGCGGAGGCCCCAAGCATGTAAACAAGTGTTTTCGCAAAAGAATTTCTGAATTGAAAACCATTTGAATGATCACATGAGAATTTTCATTATGTAATCTAACACAATAGGCCCTGTTTTAACCATACTGTCCATGTTTTGTTCAGAATGCCAACACAAAAGGACTAACCTAATATTTACTATTCATCTTTTTGTTTTTGTCTCTGCAGGCTCCTAGTCAGTGCTTCCCAGGATGGTAAACTTATTATTTGGGACAGCTATACCACAAACAAGGTAAACTTGGGTTTTCCAAAGGCCTTGACAGTGTTTTTGCTGGTTACTGGAATGCATGTCTGATCTCACTGTATGTGTGGCTGTAAGAAGAAAATTTGCCTAGGCTTCTAAGCCTTTCCATCATTCTCTCATCAATTTTACCCATCTTTGACTACCACTGTATTGGCCATAAACTACTGCATTGGTTATAAAACCTTGCATTTGGTTGCTCTGCCATTTCGAACTGTTTCTTATTTCAGGGATGTCCTGATCCAATTTCTATCCCCAAATCTGCTCAAAGTATTTAAGTATGGGTGTAATGTTACTGGACTGGACTTGTTTTGGTTATCTTTGGCTTTGAAATGAGCATTTAATTTTGTGTTTAATATTGACCTGATTTTATTATACATGCATTTGACTGATGATTTATTCTAAAACGCTGAAGTAAAATAAATTCTTTTTGGTGCATGTTATCTGTATAAACATTTTTTTGATGCTTTTATTTAAAATTAGTCACAACTAGGGCTAGGTATCGCTAAAACTTTTCAGTATCAATACAGATACCTTGATTTAAATGCAGATTCCTCAATAATACTTTTCTCAATACCTTCCTTTTTTAATTACAAACTAAAAGTGGGTGTGTCTTAAGCCTTAAATAAGTGTGAGCTGCCTGGAAATGGGTGTATTTACTGACTATAATGGATTGTAGACTAATCAAGAAGTACTGATGTTAATGACATGCTTGCAGAATGTAATATAGTCAAAATTATGGATGCTAAGACCAACTACTTGAGTTTTGAAATGTAATGTTGAGTGACCAAATTTTTCTTTACTTTTTGGTAAAATTGAAGTTTTCAGTGAGGCACATAAGAGAAATGATGCCAAACACTCGTCACAGTATGGCATAAGTGCATTTTGCATGTAGTTTTAATGGCTTACAACTGGCAGAGAGTGGCGAAAAATAGACGGGAAGCTTTTTCACATTTTACACACCCTCTATAACTGGGATGTAAATACAGAAGGAATGGAACAGATTAAAGATACACAATCCATTAAAACATTTCTGGATTAGCTCTGAAATCACTGGATAGGATCAGGTGTCCCTATTTAATTTACTTCTCCATGCTGATGAAGCAGGTACCTTTTTTTCTAATGTATCTAAAACTTGTGAACTGGAGCGTTAGCCGCTAGTTACATAAAATAATTTAAGCGTTTGACTGCAGGTTTTCTTATCTGAGTGTTTTCCTCCTGTAGGTGCATGCCATCCCGCTGCGCTCCTCATGGGTGATGACATGTGCATATGCTCCGTCCGGCAACTACGTGGCCTGTGGTGGCCTGGACAACATCTGCTCCATCTACAATCTGAAGACCCGTGAGGGCAACGTTCGCGTCAGCCGTGAGCTGGCTGGCCATACGGGTATGGACCCAGTCTTTCTGTGGAGTTTAGTAAGCTGTATTAAAAACTAGAATTTAGCTTGCTGAAGGTTTGAGATGTTTGAGATCAGGTAGTCGTAGAGTGTGGTGTTGTACAGTTCAGCCTTTTGCTGCTCTTAAAACGTGAACTTGGATTCGATGGGTTAAATCAGGTGTGCTAGAGCAGGTGAAACAGATTGAGGAGCAGATTTCAGTAGATCTGCAGTGTATATTAGCCACCGTAGCTCTGTTGCTTACACTGGTTGCAGTGTCGAATCAATACTGCGCACACCTTCAGAAAATGTCTACAGTTACACAGTCATTTGTAAAGTTTAGCAAAGCTACATCATATTCACAGGTGTGAAAATATAAGCAAAAAAAGGCTTATTCTGTCAGCGCCCAAGCTAAAAATGTTAAAATTAGTCAACGCTGCCCTCTAAACATGTTGGAGCACCAAGTTAGAAGTTGGAGCTTTTTGATGTTTCAATGAATGCTCTCACGTCTTTCTTTAATTTATATTTATTTGCCTCAACTCAGTGCTTCCAGTTCATGTTTTGTTGTAGCGGCATAAGACTGAAATCTAACACTGAAAAATGAAAGCAGTCGCTTCAAATAGTTGTCATTATCTCAAATTATTGCGGTTAGGTGATTATGTAATAATTGTATTGAGGTAAACTGCTCTACAACCTGTGAAGGACCCATCAAATCTTGTAGAACGGGGATTTCCAATCGTGGAAACATACTGAACTACAGTTTCCCTCTTTTCTGTACTCTGTCATTACTCAAATCATGAAGAGCTTTATAATTAGCTGAACAGTTGAGGCGGAGGTAGTCAGGGAAAGTCAGACTGGTTCTGTAGATGACAGTGTGATGGGTCATTTGGCCAGTTGTGGAGAATTTGAATGTTTTCTGTGAAAAAATTTACCAGTAATTGTGAATGTCTCATGATGGATCATTTATTCATTTATTTATCTATCCATCTATCTATCTTCCTGTGCCTGACCTCTTCGTCTCATCTCTCAGGTTATCTGTCCTGCTGTCGTTTTCTGGACGACAACCAGATCGTCACTAGCTCAGGCGACACCACCTGGTGAGTTTTGGGTAGTGTGCCAAGACTGCTGCTTTATCCATTTGCATCAGAGACAGACGCTTGCATACACACAGTGCACTGACTGTGTAGACGTTTGTATGATAATTTTAATTTCTGAGTATCAGAACTGACAATTGAAATACCTCAGAAAAGAAAATGTGTCCATCTCTTTAATAGAGAATAAAAATGCAGTGTGTGCAGTGATTTTGTTTTCAAATTTCAAACTCTTTCTCAAAACACAGGAATGCTGTTGGTCATGTGAAGGCCAGTTTTTTTATGTTGACTAGAGAAAGCTGCGTAACAAATAATAATATTGTGGTTACAGAATGTGGTGACAGCATTGCAGAGTACATCATTTGTTCAGACTTTTTGCTCATGGTTTGCTTTTGTTTGCAGTGCTCTTTGGGACATTGAAACTGGGCAGCAGACGACCACCTTTGCAGGGCACACTGGTGATGTGATGTCGCTGTCCCTGGCTCCAGACACGCGTCTGTTTGTGTCAGGCGCCTGCGATGCCTCTGCCAAGCTATGGGACATCAGAGAAGGCATGTGTAGACAGACCTTTACCGGCCACGAGTCCGACATCAACGCCATCTGCGTACGTATCTCAAAAACACAAGCTAAAAATGTGGAAAGCACACAATGCTGCAATTAGGTCTCCACCTTGTATGTCCTATGTTGTGATTCCTTTTTCCTGTTTGCTCAGTTCTTCCCCAACGGGAATGCGTTCGCCACGGGCTCGGATGACGCCACCTGCAGGCTGTTTGACCTGCGTGCCGACCAGGAGCTGATGGTGTACTCCCATGACAACATCATCTGCGGCATCACCTCCGTGGCCTTCTCCAAGAGCGGCCGCCTGCTGCTTGCTGGCTACGACGACTTCAACTGCAACGTGTGGGACACCCTCAAAGCTGACCGTGCGGGTCAGTACAACTCCCTAGTTTAGATTCCTAATTTGACACAGCTGACTGAGTTAATCAAGACCTTCGGGAGCATCTGAATATTAGAACCAGGTTTGCTGGAACTGAACTCTGCATAGCTAGGCATCCCTGTGCAAGATGAATTTGTAGGAATCAAAAAGAAAGAATTTTTGTACATGAATGTGAAAACCTAATAGACACGAAGTAGAGGACTGAGCAGGGATGAACTGAATATGTGATGGTAATAAGATGTTTACCTCATAAATTCTGATTTATGATTTAGAATTTTGGCCGAGTTCAAGCCACAGTCAATGGTGAAAACATGGAAATGTAACTGTTACTTTTTAGATTGTTGTCTAAATGCCTGGGAAACATACCAGAAATTAGGACACAGTTAGTGCTGCGGTTTCCGTGCTGCCTGATGTCAGAATGTTCTAATTTTCACCTTATTGCCCTCACAGTTTTTATGAGCTTTGACATTCTTTATACTAAGTAAACCAAAAGCTAAAGCCGGAACTGTAAGAATATTTTTAGACCTATGCTTTCTAACTTTCAACTCTTGCTATTTATGCTATTTTTGCATGCTTTAGTATTTTTAGCACTAGTAGGTACAAGAATCTGTTTTGTTGCACTCAACTACTGTGAGAGGCTGTGACAGAAATGGATACCTATTTTATTTTACAGCAGCACCGCAGAGTTAAGAATATACACCCCAACACGTTTACTGCCTGCTGCTTATCATAAAGTAAAAATACTAACTGGTAACAGTAGGGTACTGCAGTTCTGTGCCAAGAATTGAATGTGTGGCCTTTTCTCAGTCTGTGTCCCCAACACTTTTCAAAATGTTACGCCTGTGGCTATGTATAAAAACCAACTTCGGCCTAGCTCAACTGTCTGTTTGTTTGTTTAAGTGACTAGTCAATACTGCTAGAGGGTCATATTGAGAATGTTTGAATTCGTTTGTTGATATTTTTTTTTTTTTTTTTTTTTTTTTTTTTACATTTTTAACTATTTAGAAAATTTATTAGTTCTCCATTATGTAGCACAATACTGTTGGGAGTAAGGAATCATTTTGGTTTTAGTACATGTAATTTGATGCAACTTTTTGAATTGATGGCAAAAGATTCAGTAATGTTGCACACAAGTATTATTCACGGTATTCTTTGTAATTATTAGCTGTGGATGTCCTGTCTCAGAGTTGTGAGTTTCCTCTGAAAAACATGGGTCACATGTCAAACTTGTCCGCACTTCTCTTACCCCACCCAACTAACGCATGAATAGTTCAGTACTAGCCGTGTGCATGTGCATTTGTGATCAGAAGCACAGTGCTACTCCTCCATGCTCATGAATTATGTACACGGTAGAAAGATGTGAAATGGAGGTTATATTCACATAGTATCCTACTGTAAAAACAATGTTCTGGATCAGCACACGCACACCATCAGTCAGCATGAGCGCAGATAACCACTGATGACCAGAAATGAACTTGGATTCCACTTAGGAACCATGCAGCAGTAAAGGTCTGATCTTTACTGCTGCATGGTTTTTGACCTAAGAGTACTCTTGCCTTACGAATGCTTTGTCATTTCCCTGGCTAAAATCTCTGGTACACAAAACCCATCCTGAACATTTTGAACTTACCAGCAGTGCTTAGTCCAGTCATTTGTCATTTAGTGGTGTTTAGTAAAGGATCATAGAAAGATTCATACATACATAGGTTCACGTTGATCACAAACACTTTTCAGTGATTAACAGTGAACTTAAAATAACTTGGTAGATTAAAAAACATTAAAAAGGGGAGAGGGGAGGGAACAGGGAGTATAAGGGAAACAGGTGACCTGCTGCCAACTACATATTTAAATTAGAATCAGGTTTTGCTTAACAGCACATTCCTGTACAAGCTGATTTCCAGACAGTCTCCATTTAAGAATTTATATAGTATTAATAAGTAATTTGGTTTAACAGTTTTAAAAGCAACCTATTCTTTCCATCCTTTTTTTCCCCATCCCTCAAAGCAAGATGACCAAGATGAGATGATGGATAACTTGAGCCAATTATTACTATCGTCAGCATTAAAAAATGAAATTGATTAAACTTTTTTTTTTTTTTAACTTTGATTAATATGTGAGGGTTGTGTGTTTTGCAGGTGTCCTGGCAGGCCATGATAACCGTGTTAGCTGCTTGGGCGTTACTGATGATGGAATGGCAGTGGCAACAGGTTCTTGGGACAGTTTCCTTAAGATCTGGAATTAAAGCCACAAGGTAAACACTTCATTGAATACATACATACAGAATTAAGTGGCCTTCAATATTTAAACCAGATGTTAAAAAAATTTTACTGTGTTTCGTAAGTATTCATTGCGCCTCATCTCAATAAAAGTGCACCCTGTAGAAAACTTCCTACACATACTATAAAAAGGCTACACAAGACCAGCAAGTAACAGAGTAATGATTGAAGAGTAATGAGTTCCCTAATTGTTCCAGTTTGTGTACTCTGCGTACTGTAGTGTACAAAGTCTCCTGCAAACAGTGTACTGAATGATTGTTACTAAATGAGGAAATATAATTATATTTCTGTACAGAAAATTGCTTACAGATTTAAATTGTCCTGTGGACACTTCAGCCCTACTGTGTGCATGACATGGTCAGTTAGATGCATTAAAGTGTGAATTGACACAAAAATAAAAAAAACAATGTAAAGCTAGTTTGTGAATGTGTTACTACCATTTAATTACATCCTGACTTTTAAAAGGAACAGACACCTTTTCAGTCACTGTGTAGGAATGTCAAAACGGAAAGCTAGAACTGTGACGTTCTTCACAGAACACTTAAAATGAAAGGAATGTAAAAGTGCATGCTTGTCTGTGTCATAGATATGACTCCTTGGTGCTGTGATAAGCTAGGCATTGTCTATCCATAAGTTTAAGTTATGTGACTTTTTTTTGCCGTGACTGCGATGCTGACAGTCTAGTTTTGACAGCAGTAGAGCAGTCACCTCAGATGAACGAGAAATTTCCATTCAGTGGATATTACAGCTTTAATCCCCACTGTACTGCTGCAGCCAACAGCACAACAGGCTGCTAGCATGTTTTATATCGCAGATATTCAGCAAAACGGGTTAACAGTAAGGGTGTGCACAGGTACTCGAGGGCCAGTATTCAAATACTGCGGTCACTGTTTGGTTATTCTTTACGTTTCATCATATGAAGGATGAGTCCTCATCAGCATCCAGTGTTGTACCACTTACTTGTAGTTTTAGCTCAAATCTGAAGAAGCAGTCTCTGTCACTAATCCAACACCAAAACTACCAATTTTTTCTCATTTCCTCTTGTTTTAAAACAAAAAAGAGTAAGCCATAGGTTACTTTCATCCTTTTTTTGCCTCCTGCCAGTGGTTAACCAGATGTCTGTTTATTAACTCTTGTGGATATGTGAACATTAAAATTTGTCAGAATGCACACCCTAGTTAACAGCTTTTAACTGATTTCAAAAACTACAACTTTGTCTACAACTAATGACTTGGCTGGTGACAGAAATCAGTCTGGCCAGCGTAGATCGTCAATATGGCGGGCAGCTCTCATATGACGTCAGATGAAACTCATGGATAATAGCATAATGCACTTGAATGGAAACAGGAATGGATCAAATGTATAGTCTGTACAGCAGCGATGATCACTTACTGTTTAAAAAAATTCGTCCAGCTATTTTGATCTTTTTTTTTTAATCTCTGTTGACGATGCAGAAATGATCAGTTCTTTGTGTTGAGGAAAAAATGCAATAAAGAAGTGATTATTTTACCCAAAACTGCTAACATTGCTAATGAAGCTAAAGGCTCAGTGCAGTGAAATAAATTGTGGCTTTTGCTTGTAGGTAGGTGTTGTTAATTGATAAATTAATTACCCAGCTCTGGTAATCTGTTTCTGGGTCTTGAAAATGCTTGATAATTCCACTTTTCTTCATAACGCCTTCCTTACTTACATACCACTCCCACATCCTCTTGTCTGAATCCATGATTCATGGAAACACCCCAGTGATGCTCTAATACTCCCATCTTTTTGTAGAGTCTGGTGCCGACACTAGGACAACCATATATACCCCTGCTGCCATCTGCTGGTGTAAAGTTATAACACTAACCTGTGAAAGTACTGGTATCGTGTAACTAGGCCAAAAACAGTTAACACCAAAAAAAGAAAGTATAATGCAGTTATGAAATGATATTTCGCAACTACGCCAAATTGATCATGTTGCAAAAATTTTACATGTGCCAGAACTTGTTCAATTCAGCAAATATACAACTAATAAATAATATATTTTATAATAATATCAATATGAATTCCTTTTAATTATCTGGAACCTGTGGTCTAGACCAGTGTTTCCAAACCTGGTCTACAGGCCCCCCAGACAGCCAATGGTTTTTCTTCATCCCTTGTTAAGTTGAAGCAAAAATATTGACTGTCTGGGGGACCCTGGGAAGCACTAGTCTATAATATTTCAGTCACTTCATACTCTTTTCTGTAACCAGGCTGGTTTTATATTGTTTGAACACATTGAACATTTTGAAGCTATTTTGAGACCTTTAATGATCATCTTACATTTACTTTCCTTTCAGATGGCATCCGGACTCCAAAGTTGACTGGAAGACCATTCCAACATCGAAATGTTCAATTTTATTGCATATCCAATCTTCTCAAACACAACAGAACTGACCCCATTATCTGAAGAAACAACAAAAGGGCAAAAGTTAATCTCCTTCCCATAAAAAAGAGCACAATTGTTTCACTCAGCCAGATCACAAGGAAATCAGTGGGTTCATCTTGATGTGGTGGGGGGGAGGGGGTCAAAAGTAATTGTGCATTCCTTCCGGGACCATTTTCTGACGTTGCGTTGAACGAATATCCAAAAACCCGCTCATCACATTGCGATTGTCATTTAGGCTAATGTTATCTATCTCTAACTTAAAAGGAGGCGATTTTTTTCCTAAAGGAGCTAGCTCTCGAAGGCTTTTTTTGGGCAATTCATCCCAAGAATTACATTCAGCCGTTCGGCGGTTAGTGTTTCGAAACGAGGAATGGAAGCTGTCTTTTATCGCCTAGTCTTTAAATATTTTAGAATCAAGTTTATAGATGGAAGGTAAAACAATGTTGAGAGTAATCACTCATTATAATCCAGCTTTATCATGTCAAAAAAGAGGAAACAAAGTGAACGGTTTGAGCTTGACCAGAGGTCCACTAGCCGCAACCAGGCCTGTATATTTAGTCTAATGAGTTTCTTTTTTTTTTTGTTTGTTTTTCTTTTTTCTTTTTGTTTGTTTTTGTCTAGTCACAAATCTTTGTTTGCACAGGAATAAAACATTGAATATATATAGAATAATGTTGAAAAATGTCAACTAACCAAGCACATGCTGTTAACGATGATGAATGCTCATTTTTAAAAATGAATTGAAAAGTCCATTTTAATCATGCTTTTCTTTCCCCGGTTGGCTGATCTAGAGTAATGAAAGGAAATGAAGATTATCCCATCGTTTATTGTTATTTTTGTTTTATTTCTCTTCTCCATGTTCCTTTTTTGTGTTCTATTAGAACTTGGTGTGGAGGGTGTTGACCGGAGGGTGGGTTCGGGGTTGGGGGTCACGGGTTCAGGGGGACTCGATTTTCATTTTTACCCGGTTTCAACAGAGGTGCCCGTTCCGTGCTTGGAAAACCAGTTACTACTCTGTGAATGACATGTTGTAAAAATCAATGTTTGAAAATAATGATATTGAAAAAAAAACTTTTTAAGTTAAAAATTAAAAAAAAAATCTTATTTTGGTTGTCTGCCATGGGTGGGTTAACTCTTAGAATCGCATGCTGTAGAATTGCTTAAAAAGAGGTGCATATGGAACTAAGTCCTTCGATGTTTTTCTTTAAGAAAATAACCTGTTAAATAGATCATCACAATATTTATATTCTTTTTTTTCTTTCTTTTTTTTGCTACTCTGTGCATACATAATTCAATTAAACTTGCAAAGCTATGCACTCGAGAAGCAAACACATTGATCGACCCGTTCTGTCCATACCCTGGAGTTTCAAAAACACTGACCCTCACACAGACACAGACACACACAAACACACACAGGAACACGGCACACACTCTCTCTCAAATAACTAGAACAAAATTTTCATTCTTTCTGTAGCAAAACGAAAATTCCAGATACAAAGAAAAAGAATGCTAGAGACATTTTGTAACAAACAGGTTTTTTCTGTCCTTTAATAAAAAAAGAAAAAAAAACTTGCAGCATTTGAATGGCAGAATTTTTCTGTTGTTCCCTTTCTGCGTGTAACGAGAGGCGCTCTTTCCTTAGCGGTAGTGGCATTTCTTCCATTCTGTTATTCCTCTGCGACATTCTGTACAAAAAAAAAGTGCTGTCGTTGTGCGTTAGGCCTGGAGTTGGCAACAAAATAAAGAAAAAAAACACAAAAAGAGTAAAGATTAAATCAATTCCCTTTCTTTTCCCTCGCTCTCTCTTTCTCTCTGTCTCTCTCTCTTCATACAAATAACTGTAGAGCTCTGCACACCCCCACTGTATCCTTATCCATCTTTTGTATTTAATTTTAAATTCAGTGTACAACAGAAAGCTGGATGCAAGATAGAAAACTATATTAAAATGTACTGTTATTTAAGATGTAATAAAGCAGTTTGAGATGACCTGTCCGTGTTGTTGCAGTTCATCCGTTCAACGTAGATGAAATTCATCTTGCCGCCTGCATACTGTTCACATGCTGACACATTAGGTTAAAGCTGCACATTGTTGAATGACTTCAAAACTTTCAGAACATCAGCTGCAAGGCATGTACTTGCAGCAACTTGCTGTTAAAGGAACGTATCCCTACTGTGATTTAGCCAGTGTGGCCAAAAATAAAGCTTGTTGTTTTTGTTCCACAATGCAAGCAAGCTGGCATTCAATTGCATTCATTGTTAGCAAGGCCTTTGTGAGCCATCTCTCCAGGAAAACCTGCTTGCCATCAACAACCAAGGCCAGTTAGACAACTGACAGTCAGTTGTGATTATTTCTCACGTCGATCATGTCTCTGATCTTAGATCTTGAAGGGGCACTCCGGCCTAATGGTGTATCTTGAAGGTAGACAGAATTTTGGGGGGATTCTTGAGGATGGGCCTTTTTTCCCTCGCTACTTCGCTAATGCAGAAGGAAGCCAGATAGCTAATATTACTGTAATATAATGTCTGTATTTATTAGCCTTTACATTTCTGTATCTGAGGGGATTCCCGATGGTTGAGTATTTGCACAATGCATGCTGGGTATTGCAGTGACAGAACAGTGATGAAAAAAGGATACAAAATGATTAATTCTTTTAAAGAAAGATGCAATGTTGTGACACACAACATATTAAATGCTAGTTCAGGGCTGGAATGCCCATTCAGTTTTAAACCTAAACAACAGTTAGGCCACATTTTGTGATGGTCATTTAAGCAAACCATCACATGCCAAGAGTCACATGCCATGACTAAACATGTACCCATATTTAAAGCAGAAAAACAAATCTGAGTATTCTGAGACTGATAAGGAAGGTCTAGCTAATATCCAAAATGTCCTTTGGCAATTCTCAAAACTTATTTAAACACAATTGATCAGTACAAAATGGTCATTAAGTATGAATTATTGCAGCAGGCTGACATCTTGATGTCTTTAGAGTCTGTAAACATTGTGCTGTAGGACACTTTTGTTATTAATTGAACAGTAGAGGTTTTTTATATGATGGCTGCTGTTGTAGTTTGCGAGAGTCCACTGTCCACATGACAGTCTCTAGTCCTGAGGGTCTTTTCTGTATTTGCGCTTAAAGGTGAATTCTTCTGATTTTTTTGCATAATTCAGTCACTGAGATGTAAACAAAGTGTTTTGATCTGAAATGGTCCACTGTTTAAAACCTGACTCCGATTTCTTTACATTGGTGCTGATAGGAAGACGGGATCTTGATATGTGCAATACAAATAGCCATTTCTTTATTTACAATCAAAGAATTACCAGCTACCCTACATATGTTTCATATGTAATGTTGATAATGGTGAAATTGTGCTGAGTCTAAAACAAGACTTATTTCGGGACTATGCATGTAGCTCCCTGCCATGAGCATTAAAAAGTACACTTTAGGTCAAAACCTTATCACAAATGTATCATAAAGCAATCGTAAAGTCTCAGGCTTTAGGCAGCATGCTCGTAACCATTTCAATTAACAGCTGTGGGGTAGCTTTTACAGGCCATTAAACGCTTCGGACATCTGGTTCCTATCACCGCCACTGTGAACGGAGCATTTCGCACCACAACACTGACTGTTTACGGCTAAATCACTTTAGTATGCGTAAATTTTGAAAAATGGCTAGAATTCACCTTTAACGTTAACAAACTGAACCCAGCTCACTGTCTCAGTTTTCTAGTTCAACGTTAGTTGTGACAACACAAAACTACAACATGTACCTGTTTAATACTGTTCGGGTTGGAAGAAGAGCAGATGGGCCTGAAGCGCTGTTCTGTACCCTTACACAGCGCAATGATTGGTTGGTGAAAAACGCAGGGACTTTGATCAGCCAATGAAAACACGAGCTCCGTTGACGTAATAAGCGGACCACACCATTGGCCACAGATAGTTACAGGAAAATCGAGAGGATGAAATGACTCCAGGGTTACAAATCATATGGCGTAGTGTTGGTTACCTGTAACTCTACCGTTTTCTGCTGTTAGCTCTAACACTGCTTTTAACTAAAATTTGTCCAGAATCAAATAGATTTAGTGTTAGGATTGAGGTGGCCAAAATATAGGCTATGACGGTCAGACATTTTGCAGGAAAATGGTACATCTTGCTTACTTTTTCGGATCTGTGGCATTACGTGCTTACGCAAAGTGTTTAATAACGCGGTTATCAAACGACATCAGTAGCACGAGCAGGTAGACGTTAACGAAGGTAAATAATACCGTAAGTACGTAAATACGTTATTATTATTATTATTTTGTTTCTAGAATCAGGCCTGATTTAGCTAAGATTTTAAGATTGTGTAGTGTTAGCTGAGAACAGCGTAAACAGCACTGCTGTGTTTTGCACTCCAAGAGTTACTGAAGTTATTCGACTCGCATTCATTCATCATATCTGGTCACCATGTCTTTTTCTCAGGTTAGTCATTTGAACCTCTCGAGCCGCTAGAAAAATGTCTCTGGTGCCCATGTACCTGTTTAATACTGTTCGGGTTGGAAGAAGAGCAGATGGGCCTGAAGCGCTGTTCTGTACCCTTACACAGCGCAATGATTGGTTGGTGAAAAACGCAGGGACTTTGATCAGCCAATGAAAACACGAGCTCCGTTGACGTAATAAGCGGACCACACCATTGGCCACAGATAGTTACAGGAAAATCGAGAGGATGAAATGACTCCAGGGTTACAAATCATATGGCGTAGTGTTGGTTACCTGTAACTCTACCGTTTTCTGCTGTTAGCTCTAACACTGCTTTTAACTAAAATTTGTCCAGAATCAAATAGATTTAGTGTTAGGATTGAGGTGGCCAAAATATAGGCTATGACGGTCAGACATTTTGCAGGAAAATGGTACATCTTGCTTACTTTTTCGGATCTGTGGCATTACGTGCTTACGCAAAGTGTTTAATAACGCGGTTATCAAACGACATCAGTAGCACGAGCAGGTAGACGTTAACGAAGGTAAATAATACCGTAAGTACGTAAATACGTTATTATTATTATTTTGTTTCTAGAATCAGGCCTGATTTAGCTAAGATTTTAAGATTGTGTAGTGTTAGCTGAGAACAGCGTAAACAGCACTGCTGTGTTTTGCACTCCAAGAGTTACTGAAGTTATTCGACTCGCATTCATTCATCATATCTGGTCACCATGTCTTTTTCTCAGGTTAGTCATTTGAACCTCTCGAGCCGCTAGAAAAATGTCTCTGGTGCCCAAAGTCCGTCTGACTGGGGGTTTGGAGGTGTGTCGGGTTTTAAATGGCATGTGGCAAGTGTCCGGAGCTCACGGTGCAGTGGACCCGGTCAAAGCAGGTAAGCTATAACCTAGTTTCGCCAGTCACCTCAGTACAGACATGCACCCTGCCAGCGGAGTTGGGCTTCATCAAGTCTGCATTGTGTTCTCGATATGGCACTATATGAATTTCAAATATATGACATATATTGGAATTTATAGATTTCCCTTGTATCCAACTTCTGTTCATCACATATGGGCCTATATGTGACATCTTTGCCAACACATTTGAAATGGCCGTTTTTGAAATATGGGACATATTTTAGTTAGACATCAACATATACAAACATATGTGTAAAACATATTTAACGATATATGATAGAAAACATTATTCATGTATAGATGGCATATATTGCTAATGTATGGTAGTTTCATGTTATGCAATAACATCATTGAATATTAAATAACTGAAAATATTGTTCCCTGACACTTTAAATAATGTAAAAATTTAAAGCAAACAAATGACATTCTAACAACTGTAACTGTACTGGAATGTATTCCACCATGTATATATATGTATGATCCATATATTGTGTATATATAATATATGCCCAGCCTTTTATGATACTTGTCCATATATAGCCGTATATCAGATTTTTGTATGGGCAGAACAGCAGATTACACTTTAAATAGAGGTATATAAGACTGAAGTAGGGGTAAAGAGGTATCAGTGCAAAAATAAAACATCTTAAGTAATGATTTCACTAATTGATTCAACTGCTATAGGGCAAAGAGATTTTATTACCCACATGAGGAAACTTACCACAATTTACAAAAATAAATGAGCCATGAATGGTAATAATGACAGTGATTTTAAGTACAGTTGTATTCTGTTGAAATCCCCTGATTATCATCAGTTTTCTCATTACAGTTTAATTTCACCCTCTCCATTTCCTCTCAAAAAGGATTCTTTTTCAAAGCTCTACATGAGCTGCAACCAAATCACAGCTGTGATGTTATTTGTGGTGACTTACTCCCTCTGTTCTATTGCTTTAATTGTGTCCCAGAAACAACTATTTCTGGACACAGATTTCCCAAAAGAGCTTTTTAAAAATAGTGACGTTTAGACACTTTTAACAGACTTTCTGTTATTGGTCTACACTATAGACTCTGAACTCTGATCAGCCATAACATTAAAACCACCTCCTTGTTTCTACGCTCATTGTCCATTTTATCAGCTCTGCTTACCAAAAAGCAGCACTTTGTAGTTCTACAATTACAGACTGTAGTCCATCTGTTTCTCTGCATACTTTGTTAGCCTCCTTTTACCCTGTTCTTCAGTGGTCAGGACCCCCATGGACCCTCACAGAGCAGGTACTATTTAGGTGGTGAATCATTCTCAGCACTGCAGTAACACTGATGTAGTGGTGGTGTGTTAGTGTGTGTTGTGCTGGTACGAGTGGATCAGACACAGCAGAGCTGCTGCAGCTTTTAAACACTGTGTCCACTCACTGTCCAATCTATTAGACACTCCTACCTTGTTGGTCCACCTTGCAGATGTAAAGTGAGAGACAGTAGCTCATCTGTTCTGCACAGTCATCCTCTAGTCCTTCATCAGTGGTCACAGGATGCTGTTGCCTGGATATTTTTGGTTGGTGGACTATTCTCAGTCCAGCAGTGACACTGAGGTGTTTAAAAACTCCAGCAGCACTGCTGTGTCTGATCCACTCGTACCAGCGCAACACGCGCTAACACACCACCACTACATCAGTGTCACTGCAGTGCAGAGAATGATTCACCACCCAAATAATACCTGCTCTGTAGAGGTCCTGCCCATTGAAGAACAGGGTGAAATGGAGCTAATAAAGTATGCAGAGAAACAGATGGACTACAGTCTGTCATTGTAGAACTACGAAGTGGTAAGTGGAGCTGATAAAATGGACAGTGGGTGTAGAAACAAGGAGGAGATAGTTTTAATGTTACGGCTGATCGGTGTATAAATTCATATGTATAGTCTATGGTCTACACTTTATATCCTCAGTAACTGGACTACATCCTGCCTTCATCAGAGTAGGCTGGTCAGCTTAGCACATAACTAACAAGCTAAAAAGCTCCTCAAATAGAGACAAGCTGTAATTTTTGGTCTTGAGTGACAGGAGTGACTGTAAAACTTCAACATATAAATGTAAGATTATGTTACCTGAAGCCAGTTACACATTCCAAACATCTGTGTTTGAGCCAGAGTTTGGAATAACTGACATAAATGTGAACATTAACTGCTCCCTCCCTTAGGAGCTAGCAGAAATTAGCATTATGCTAGCGATGCTAGTCACATTAAAAGGCTATTTAAAAGGAGAATTGCAAGGTTTTTGCATGAAACACTGCTATTTAATGACATGCACTGCTAGCACATGTTCATGATTTTATGACTTCTAAAGGAAAAACGTCAGTTTTGGGAGGCACAATACAAAAGAAAAAAAGGAGGTAAAACCAAATTGCCCTACACAGTGATGGAACTTCTATCAGCATAGGAAATGAAGTTTGTTAGGTGCTATTCTTCTCTTTTTGGGATCCTTTTCATCTAAAATAAAATGCTAAAGCTTAAAAGTGAGAGGTGTGTGCAACAGAAAAGCAGTCCAGCAGCTTTTTCCCAGTCCAGAAAATTAGGAATGCCACTATAGATTATATTACAAATCACATAATCTACATATTATTTTGACAAGTAGTCTCATAATCAGAATGAAAACAGTTTACCTAAATGATAACAGACTATGCACAGCCTTTGGAAAACTCTAAAATCTATTACTGGAAAAAGATAAAGAAGGCTGGTTTTAAAATGGCTTAATAAGAAAAATATAAAAATACCATATGGCTGAAAATCCATATAAATGGGGTGTCCATCCGACTCTGAGTCTTTCTATAAGAGAGAACAGTTCATCAAACCTCCTCCTGGAGATCTACTTTCCTGCAGAGTTTAGGTCCAACCTGCATCTGACATGCTCCCCTCCTCTTACCTGATGCTATTGCATCTGATCCAACCAATCAAGGACTTCTGAAGAGGTTAATTAGCTGGAGTAGGTGTGGCAGATCATAGGTAGAACTAGATTAAACAGGAAAGTAGATCTCCAGGACCAGGGTTGGTGACCACTGATTTAGAATATGCACTTTGCCATGTAAACATTGTTGAATCATTCGTTTATTTGTTGATTGATTTTTAAATCATCATTTGAAAATCAGGGAAAAGTACACATCCATCAACGTTTTGAGTGATTGGCTACTACCCACCTCTGCTTTGAAAAGAAGGGTTATTAGCTGTAAAATTGTTGGGGATAAAGTTGTAATGATGTCAATTAAGATGATACATCGTGTCTTTTATGTTTTCAGTGCTTGGTTTCTCATGACGTTTTAAGTATCGTTATGGAGTTGAATGTGTGGAATTGAATTCAGTGTCACATCTTTCTTAGTGCAGGCAATGGACTTGTATATGAGTTCTGGACTGACATCATTTGACATGGCAGACATTTATGGGCCGGCAGAAGAGATATATGGAAACTTTTACAGCCAGGTAAGCAGTGTACCGTGTTTCTTCTTTAAATCTTGTCTTAAATTAAGCTTAATTTGACTCCAGTTGGAACCTGTAATGAGTAAGAACACTGAGGGAAAGGGAGTGAAGGAAGACTAGGACAGAAGGGAACCAAAACACAATTAGGAGGGAACCAATATCAGACTACCTATGATTGTGAGCCATTAACAAGCGGTGCTGGAAAGCCAGCCAGTCAAATTTCTTAGAGTGGCATGGACATAGAAATAAATGCTTTAGGTATTTCCCCACATTATATGCTTACCCTCTGCCCCCCACCTCTTTTTACCACCCAAAGTTTCTTATATATTTTGACTACTTATAAGAACCTGATGCAATAATCTACAATTCTACATTTTATTTTCAACAAACTAACTAAGCAGAGGTTTAAATATTTCAAACAATGGACTAAAATGTATTATTAGATGTTTTATTAAATGTTTTAAGAATTCTGTGAACAAGAAGTTGTTAAATGATAAAGAAACTGATAATTACAGTGTTATTTATCAGTTTACATACAGTTTACATATTCAGTCATTTTAAAATATTTCATTCACGTCTTTCTAGTGTCGAACTAAATATTTGACGACTGTGAATCTGTACAACTCTGACATATTAGAATTATTTTATATACTTGTCTGCAACAAGATAATGACACAATAATTGACACTGTTAATGTACCACGTCTAAATTACCTGGTGTGGCCAAAATAACTCTCTAGTGTGTTAAGCATATTCCAGTCTGGTGTCACGGTTGCTACCATGTCTGCTTTCTCTCATATTGTGAATGGTATTTCTTTGGAAAATAGAAATCATTGTGCAACCCATTTCATTAACTTACCAAACATGGCTGGCTCCACACAGATGATCATTCCCTGCTGCTAAACAGACTATCATCAGTTGGTTTTAATACCTCTGCATGTAAATGGTTCCATAAACATTTATTTGACTTATCTTAATGTGCCAAAGTTACATCTGCAAGTAACCAAAAATGTCCCACAAGGGTCTATTCTAGGGCCTGTGTTATTTTCTGTTTACATAAATGATATTGCCTTAATGTTAAGTGATTGTAATGTTCATCCACAGTTATTTTTTAGCATTATATTAATTTGTTATCACTAGCAAATCAGCAGATATACAGAAATGATTGATAGATCAGCTATGAGTCATTGCTTGGTCTCTCCCATCAGCCATTGGTGTTTTGGGATTCACTAGTGAACAGACCGCTCGAGGGTTTTTTCACGCTTTTTTAGGCTGATGTGTTTTGACAGGCTAATAGAATCGATTGGTGAGTTCCTCACTTCCCACAGAGAGTAGCCCTCACTTCTGCCTTTACCAGTCTCAATGTTTATTGTGTTGGGTTGATATTAGACAAATTGTATTGATCTGCCTTTTACAAAATGAATGTCGAACTGCTCACATATTGCTTGTAGTTTAGATGCATATTGACTTTCTTCTTTAGCTTAAATCCAGAGAAGGTGGAACCCCATCAGTGCAGGGTCTTACAAAATGGGTGCCACGACCAGGACCGATGAACAGAAAGGTAAGAGACTTCTTTAAAATATCTGAAAAGGTCAAATAGGCCAATTTATATCTGGTACATTGTAGTAATTTTTACTTGCAATTTATCAGTTGATGCTCCACCAGTTGTAACTGAGGTCTGCACAGTATATTGTTTGTTGATAATCGGGCCTCATTCACCAACCGTTCTTATGAAGAAATTTGTTCTTAAAACTCACTTATGGGTTATATTTTCATGAATCTGACAGAGACCTTTTTTCTTAGGACCTTTCTTAAGAACAAATTTAGAAAAACTTGACTATATAATATTATATAGAAATATAATAAATATTTAAACAAAGACTCACAACAAATCTCAATATTTCTTTAGACGATAATCAATTCTTCAAGGCATTCCTGGAATTTTGACAAATATAACTAACTATGGACAAAATAATGCAGGCTGGCATTGAACTCAAATGAATGGTTTCATATATCTCATATATAGGCATATTCCAATTGTAGTGTTTAGATTATATATGCTGGGTGGGATTGATAAAATTCAGTATCATAATATTTTCAAAATATATGGTGTTTGAGAATAGTTTCTATTAAAAATTGAAGTTAAACTTATGTTTATTGGATACTGATTCGTTATGCTTCTGGATTGTTTTCTTCTCTTAAACTGACACCAACATTACATAGAACATGCTTTCAAAAGCAAGCAACAAATGAGGTATATTTTATTTAACTGTTAGGTCCTGGATACCATGTGTAAAGTACCAAAAATAGAATTTTAAAAACAAACTGCTTGGCAACAGAGATGCTACTGTTTTATGAAATGGACTATCAATACCACAGCATGACACCAACACCAGTATAGACAATATATATATACCAAAAAGATCACAATAAGATTGTCCAGGTTGTGCAGCTCTAGACTGATATTTCTGATTGCACACCACTGAGTGCAGGTTTTCATATTTAAACATTTTCATTTTACCTACCTTGATACCTAACTTTACCTAACTGATACGAGAGTCGGATATGTCCATGTGTTTGTGTAAACAGGTAGTGGAAAATGCTGTTGAGCGGTCACTCAGGAGAATGCAGGTAGACACACTGGACTGTCTTCAGTTCCACTATTGGGACTACAATGATAAACGATATCTGGAGGCTCTGGGTCATCTGTCCGACATGCAGCGGGAGGGCACCATACGTATGTGTCCCACACAAACAAACAAACCTTACGCTTGTGACAATAAACAAAATAAATAGTAATTATTTTAACATGACAAACATGTTATTATACATCTGATTTGCTGGAAAGCCTTCTACTAGTGTTGTTATGCTACTGTTCAGAAGTTCATGTCATATTAATAATTGCTGCTTAAGATATTGTTATTATTTTTTTTTTATTTCGTTTAATATTCCAAGTTTTGGGAACATCAAATGACATAGGTCAGGCGTTATTGACACTTCCTCTCATGGTTCTTATTGTTTAATGGCCTTTTCCATCTGAAACCACCTGTTTGATAGAGATCATGTTTTTTTCTTTTTTGTTCATGTACAGTTAATTTTGATTTGTGATTTGTGATTTGTGTCGATGGTGTGGATCGATGTGGACTGTATGCAGGAGAGCTGTCCTTGACTAATTTTGACACCCAGCACTTGGAGGAGATTGTGGACAAAGGGATCCGTATATCCAGCAACCAAGTGCAGTACTCGCTGATTGACCGTCGGCCTGCAGCACGTATGGAAGAGTTTTGTCTAAAGCATGACATCAAACTACTCACCTACGGCACCCTGGGTAAGTCGCAGTGAAGCAGGGTGAAGGGTCTGTAAGGCACACTGGTGAACTGATGAACTTAAAGGGGACTCATTTTTCAATCTTTTTGTATAATTCAGTTGTCCAGAGTGGTTTGACGTGAAATATGCTATTCTAGAGAAACGCACCTAGTCAGAATTGTACACAGCAGTGGTGATTGGAACCGGACATCTGAAGCTCAAAGCTACCTCACATAAAGCCGTTAATGCTTATGAAAACGTTGCCTGGTGACTAAGAATTTGTTTCACGGTAGTTTTGGTCTACAACCTATTTTTTAATATATTCATGGCAGAAAGGTACCTGAAGGGTTTTGTAAGGCAAAACAGTCCAAAAAACAGATTCAGATTTCAGATTTGCCACTATTTTACCACTATCACTATCACATATAAAAACTCATACGGCGTGTAGATTCACTGGTCATTTTGGATAGTAAATAAAATAGGTAGATTTGCATTGCAGACCTCACACCTCCTGGTTTCCATCACCACCACTGTATAGAAATCAGTCAGTAAGTTTCTCTACAATTAACCATTTTACATCAAACTTTACATCTCATTAACTAAATTATGCAGAAATGAATTGCTGAAGCCTTTATGGCTGTGCTGGGATGCTAACTCTGAGTTTATATTTGGCTAATTTTATCAGTTCCACATATGTGGGTGTCACTTAGCCGTTGGCCAGAAGAGGGCACAATAACACAACATACAAAAGGTTTAGAATAAACACTTCATCTATTATTTATAAGTAAATGTGTGGCTTTAATTGTCAGCACCCCTGAACATCGGAGAGAATACCATTCTCATTTACATGCAAAAATCATTCTTTCATATTTATGTCAGTTCTTTCCCACTGATTTTAATGAGATGCCAAAAGCATTGGGTTGGCACCTGCTTCACAAAATAGATACTTAAGATTTCTCTGGTTAACCTGTTTTACACTCACTGCAGTTTTATAGTGTGACCTTCTTTCAAAATGCAAGTACGGTTTGGTATCAGCCATAACAAGGTGTATTTATTATAAAGCCCAGAATGCATAATGGCATATACCTAATAGTCCTATCTGACATAATCTCTCTTACTCTTTCTCTCTCACCCACCAGGTGGTGGTCTCCTCTCAGAGCGCTATCTGACCAGTGCTGAGCCTAAGGGTAAAGCTGAGCTCTACACAGCATCTCTGAGCAAGTACAAGAACATGGTGGACACCTGGGGCGGATGGAATCTTTTCCAGGAGCTCCTCAATGTTTTGTCCTCTATAGCCAAGCACCACAGCTGCTCCATTGCTAGTGTGGCCACACGCTACATCCTGGACCAGCCGGCGGTGGGCGGGGTCATTGTGGGCTGCAGGTTGGGTGTGCCAGGGGCAGAGCATATCCATGACACCTTACAGAGCTTTAGGGTCGAGCTCAGCCCACAGGACTTGAGCGAGATTGAAGGAGTTCTGAAGCGATCCAGGGATTTGATGAGCCTCATAGGGGACTGTGGAGCTGAGTATAGGGGCTAAACTGCTCAGCACATATTTATCACTGCCTGGCCTTTTGATTGAGAGCCACTACAATATAACACAGATACCACCTTCACACATACAGCCATGTGGAAAGGTTTGGGTGCCCCTAGTCAAATAACTTGTTTTTAAACACATCTTCTACAGAGAACACACTTGTGCACAGTTTTATGCACAGCTACTGTTTATTTGCTGAACATTTAACATATTGGGGGGAAAAACATAAAATGTGGCCTGTGCAAAAGTTATGGAACATTTTAGATTTTCCATGGTAAACTCAGCAAATAAAGAAAAATTTTGCACACAATTTGCAGGAAAATGCCATTTTATAAGTTGTATTTGACTAATTTTGTCAGTTGCACATTTGTGTGCTACTGGTCTGTTTGCTAGTGCGCTCTTGTAAATGAAGTTAATCACTTATAATAAGATCCTGCAATATTTTAAAGCTTTTTCTCCATAGGATGTGATACTTTCATTTTAGAAAATCAACAGTAATTTGACTAGAGGCGTTCAAAGTTTTGCACACAATTGTATGGCTAGACCAATCGGTTTCTTACAGAGGCCATGACAACAAAGTTATTCATATTTTCTGATTCAGAAGCTTGGTTGTCTGTAGAGGTGTAAATCTGTGACCTTGATTCTCTAGGAAGATGATTCATTTGCTACTACTTTGGTATTATTTTGATTATGATTGATAATTATTTTTTTAAATACACTGAATAAAGAATAAGACTGTTTACTGTATAATGTGAACAATAAAAATAGTTTTCATAAAACAATTTTATATCATCATTTTTTACATCTGAAAATTAGTCTTATTATAGTCAGTTATAATTGATTATAACATTTTAAAATATATGCTGTTGAATTATCAGACTAAAAAAACTATGCTGACTTTATTCATAGGTGTGCATCGGTTTCACATGAATAAAATGTATTACACCAACTCGATTCTTGCCAAAAACAAGTAAATGTTTGGATGTGTACATATGAATCAAGTTAGCGTTCTTTTTTTTATTGCACCTTTAGATGCACTGATGCATTTATACACCACTACTTTATTATTTTAGAAATGATGTTAGAAAAAATGTTAAAAAATCTTTGAGAAAGACTGATATTTTGCATTAACTGGACATTTTTGTCTTTACCCCAAATCCTCTGAATGAACTAGCACCTTGTCATAAATGTAGACCTGTTAGCTGACGGGACTTTGGGCTGCAGTTTAAAGACTCATCAGCAAAAGCTAAGGAAACCTCTGAGGCCCAAAAATTAATGTGTTAACACAGGTAAAAACATTTTAGTGTGACACTCTGAGGTTCTCTGAATGGAAGAATTAAATGCTAGGAACTGTGTGGATGAAAGTGAGGGAGGGAATAGAAGTCTGAGGTCTTCTATGTGATTAATTGCACACTGTGTGCACAAAATACCTCTATATTTCACTCACATATACATTATGTGAGTGAAGACAGTCTATGTAAGTGAATAAAAAAATGACTATGCTTCACATCCTGTACTTAATAAGGATGGTGATGGCCACGGATGCAGCAGGATAGAGAGGGAGCGTAGAGTCTGCGGCTGGCTGGATGGATTTTGCTAGAGCTGGAGGGTATGTATGTGTGTATGTTCCAGAGAGAGAGAGAGAGTGAGAGAGAGAGACAGAGAAACAGAGACAGAGAAAGCGAGCATCAGGGTTAATGCCAGTGCCGGGTTGCGTGCCTGAAACAGAACCGACGGTGCTCTTGCACACTTGATGTGAAGTGGACTGGACAGTCGGGTAACCATGGCAATGTGCTTCTGCATCTGCTATTTCCCTCTGGAAGGGCATTCAGGGTCAGAGAAGAGCGCGGGGTAGAGCATTACTAGCCTTTTTTAATCTTAACCAAGACAGTCTTTTAAAGCCCCTGTCAACATGGTTTTAAATGTCCGTTTTTGAAGATATGCCACAGAGAAAGCATATATATATATATATATATATATATATATATATATATATGTGTGTGTGTGTGTGTGTGTGTGTGTGTGTGTGTGTGTGTGTAAATTAATACAATTTAATAGTAGGTAAATGCTACAAAAATTCAAGGTGCTGCCGGCTCAGAACTGTGTGGGCGTGTCAGAAGGCAAAATGATCGACAGTGGCGTCTCCCAGGCAACGTAAGCAACTCTGCTCTCCGCCAGTCAGTGTGGTTCAGCACCACACGTTAGATCCCCCTACAGAAAACAGACCAGAGAACCTGTAGAGAGGAGAATTAAAACTCTGTGATGTTATCCGGGTTTCTCAAACACTCGAGGGGGCTCCCGAGCGAGTCCACCATGAATGGGTTAATATGGAAAAATTGATCAAAAAAAAAAAAGTTTATAAAAAACATTTTAAATGTAAAAGGATACAATAATTTCCTGAACATAGAACAGCATGAAACATTTTAACACTGCTGTTATATTTTAAGAGCTTTTAAACTTGAGCTATAGGAGTTTAAAACGGCGCCTCAGGTACGATCATGACGTCAGAGACCGCAAGCAGCCAATCAGCACTCAGTAGCAGTAGTGCCAGCTTCCTGCTGCCCGAAACCCGTTTGCTTTAGAAAAAAGGAAACATACAGGTGTGTTTTCTTAGATTTTTTTTTTAGTGAAATACATCCTTCTACTTTCTAAAATTAAACGAAAGTTTTAGGAAAGTGATTAGAAACAATTTTAACTTTTCGCTCGCGGGCGCCCTTTGCTGTTTTGCAGTCCTGTTTTTGATTTAACGGGGGAAATAGGAAGAGGCCAGGCTCCTCATAAACAGGCTCTGAACAGACCACCTCCCTCTTCTCAACTGCTGTCTAAATAGTAAGTGAAAAGTGTGTAATGGTCATTTTAGATATCTAATTACATTTAACAAGTTAATGTTGGAGAACTAAGGCTTTCATCTTATGACAGGTTTATTATGGACACTTGGTGTCTGAGATTTGAAGGCTCAGCACTAATGTTATATCCGTAACCACTAGCTAGCTAACTGCTTTTGAAGCTGAGGTCACACAAGTTCCTGTTAAGTGGGCACGGTCATATTTGCGACACTCTGGAAATCTCCTTGTGTGCCTTATTGTGCACCATGCCTGTAAAGTACAACTGCGGGGAGCCTTAATATTAGATATGGCTTTTTATTTCTACAGGTAAAGTGGCCCATTTGCTATCGCACTCTTGTAAATGAAGTTAATTGCTTATAGTAGGATCCAACATCAGGCGGCTAATGCAAGTAGGAAGCAACAGTGTAATAAACCTTCATAACAAGCAGCGTTAACCAACCTAGAAAAGCCTAATTAACCTACTTGGTCACTGTATGTGAGGGAGAGGAATGTGTACATACCGCTAACTCTGATTGGTACTTGGGGCAGATCTGAGGTCCCCTGCACCAAATTTAGTCCCACTCAACTCAAACTGAACTGAACAAAACGGCAGAAAAAGTCATTTCAAAAGTCTCTCAACAGAAAAGACCAACAGCATTCTTTCTCAATCCGCTCATAGTAAAAACATCACAGAAACTATAGATAATAGAAGGAAATAATGAAAATGAGTAAACAGGGGCTTCAGAGGGAAACCTTACTGTTAAGACATGTATGTCTTAAAATAGTGTACATGTCTAATACTATTGCAATATGATGTCTAAATCAAATGTTTTGGTTTATTATAAAAAAGGGAAAATCCCTTGCCATTGTCACAGTGTGATGATGTCATGTGGTTGCTATGCAAAATGACAAAAAGTTTTTCTGTAGTGATGTCTCACTCTCGCTAAGTTTGAAAGGCTGAATAATATATTTGAGTTAAATTAGACAGAGCAACCATTTGATGTTGCAGCAAAAATGTCAGCCTACTGACAGATTGGTTTATTTCCAGTACTAAAAAAAGTATTTTAGGTATTTCAGTAGGATTGGACATGTACACCATATGGAGACTTACATGTCTTAACAGTCAGGGTTGCCTTTAATGCAGTGGTTCTGCCAAGCATGAAATTCACATGTAGTCTGTCTGTCACAACATCTTTGGTGTCCCAAGTTTGCTTTTTAGTTTTGATCTGGAGCTACAAGACTAATGTAGTACACAAGTAATGAAAGCTGTGGTGATGAAAGAGTTGTTAAGTAATCTCAAATTGGCTTGGTTATGAGGTTTAGACACTGTATTTCATATTGTTATTGAAGAATGGTCAAAAGGATGTTGTATAGTTAATAACTCCACTGCAAAATAAAAGCAGCAAACTTCAGACATCAAACATGTCTTGGCTGATCAACAATATTTGGGCTAAAGGTAAAATTGTGTACATTTAATTTATGGTCAGACTTTTGCATTAAAGAAGAACCATTATCTACTGGGCTGCTAGCCAGCCAGGCAATAAGAGAAGTTCCAGTGCAGAACTGTAGTCCGGTTCATATTCTTCAGCACCTCTGAATGTTTCATCCTCACCTGAATAATTGATACACATGAAATATGCACAACACATGGAGATGAGATGATGTGTGGGAGCTTGTTGGCCAGGTGTTTTCATTCTCATATCATGCTGTTCAGAGGTTATTCTATCTTAATTTGTTTTGTTGATTTTTGTTTTTCTTTATCATTTGACATTGTGTGAGCACTTCACGATGAATGGACCATTACATAGAATAAAACATCTTAATATTAACTTACATTAAAAGTTAAGAATGTTTTTGCCTTCTCCTGTAAAGTTACTATTGGAGACACTGATGTGTGCGTGTATGTGGAGTATGAATGACCTCATAGTGTCTCTTTGGCTTGTTGATTCTTAACTTTGGCCACCAGCAGGATCCTGTAAATGAGCTTAGTCACTGCTCAGGTAGCTGTTACCTTGGCTCTCAACCTACTCTCTCTAGCCAAGCTGATTTAAAAACCTCTAGCCAGACTGAGATGTTGTTCCAAAATGAAAGCATACTCCCCAGATACTGTTAGTGGTAGTAAGGAAACAAGCCAAATGAGAGTAACTGTGTGTCCATTCTAAGAAGTGTCAAGTTGGCTCAAGTCAAACTTGAAACGAACATCTGATATAAACAAAATATACACAGATGACAAAGGAAAAAACATCTTAAAGTCTTTTAATAGTGTGTTGGGTCACCCGGAGAGCTTCAGTGTTCCTTGGTAAAGATTCTACACGTTTCCGGAAGTGTACTGAAAGTATTGAACATAATTTTTCAGAACCGCATTACCTCAAATGGTGTTTTGATGATGGTGGTGGAGAGCACTGTGTATTATGTCAGTCCAGAGTCTCCCACAGGTGTTCTGTTGGGTTGAGATCGGACAGATTGTTCTTGCTGACACAGACTGATCAGGTCCTGAATTGGCTTTTTCAGTCACCTGAGGAACAGTTACTCTTCCCCTTACATACTGCATAAATACATGAGCATCACACTCACTGAGTATGTGCTCACAACTACAATCTTACCAATCTTACCAGTCCTAATTACAGATGTCTTTCTCACAGATCTAAATACAAATGTCGCTTTAGTCACTGTTCCTTTAGAAACACTAGCCAGTTGAGCTGTCCTTGTGACTGAAGTTCAGCTGTGTGTTCAGGGGGTCCTGAGTTTTCTAACTCATGGCCCATGCAAATGACCACGAAAGCTTTTGTGGCCCAAAAGAAGAGTTAAAGCCTGTTGTAAATACTGTATTATACAGATAAATTTGAATGGAATTAAATTGAACATAGCCTTTGAATTTCAATTGGCTGTATAATCATGCAACATAAACACCAAAAACTATTATAATATTTGTAATATTCATAATTGTCGGTTCAGTTAAATGTCAATACATATAAAGTTTTGAGATTAAACCGCTAGCAGTACCACCACGATGCACTAGGGGGCCACAGCCCACAGGTTGCTAGTGAATAAAGATATTACACCATCTTTCAAAGTCACTTTCTTTGTTCCTCTTGCAATCTTGGTCCAAAATTGAGGTCAACTGGGCCTGCTTAGCATTTTCATCTCTGCTACAGAGCATAATAGGCTGTTAATTGCTTAATTACATGTAGTATGTCTCTCCGCTCATTTGTTCTGTTTTTCCTGTGGTTTTAATCAGTCACCGCTTGTTTTTAAAGAGAAATCAAAGATTGAATACAAGAGAAAATGAAGAAAACATTGCTTTATTTTGTGTAAAGCCCGTCTTTGGGATGTGTTTTTAAAAACATTATTCCAAAATCAAACCAATTCAGCTGACACAGCTAACCCTAACCCTAACCCTTGACACATGTCAAAAAAGGCCTTCACTGAGAGGGTGTGGTTGGTGTCGGAATAGTGATAAGAGAGTGACAACATTACTCAGCAAAAACATCTATTTCCCTTAAAGGGATAGTTCAACATTTTGACATTTAATCCACTCCTATCCAGCCCCCCTCTCTGTATTTGTGAAGCAACTTAGCATTACCTATGGAAGTATATAGAAATAGTTTATTACTCTCCAAAGCAGAGAAACACACCTTCCAGTATTTCAGCTTATGTTATTGAGGCATTTGTTGAGTTACAGTGCTGAGTATCACATTACCTGCTTACCTGTGACAAACATCACTAACTTGAGGATTATATTATAACTAGCTGGTCATATACACAGAGACACAGAGAGATAGCAGTATTCATGGGCAGTCTTGAATCTTGTGCAAACTATGTGACTGAGCTTTTACTATGGTTAGAAAAACACAGTGTTAATGCCATTTCTTGCCAAAAATTCTTGGTAGAATCAAATCTGATACTTTATCGGACTGACTTTTGTGTTGTGGTGGATTTGGGAACAAGACCGATGTAAAGTGAATGTGTGTCCTCTCTTTGCTTCGTTCAAAATCAGAGAAAAGAAAACATCAAAAGGGAATTCCACTGATTCTTTAAAATGTCTGCATAGTTCACAATCATTGAGATGTAACATTAGTTCAGAGTGGTTTGATGTAAAATGGTGCATTTTAGAGAAACTTACTTACTTTAGAGAGTCTTACTGTTTTTTTCACAGTGGTGATGATAAGAACAAGGTGTTGTAATGTCTAATATTTGCTATCCACCGAACTGAGTTTTTATATGAAAAACAAATTTTCTTTGGGTACTATTTTGTCTTACAACAGCCTGCATGTTCCTCTTACCACGAGTGGAGGTTTAGGCCAAAACCTTATCAAAACTATCAGAAAACATCAAGCAATGTATTCATTTCATGTAATAACATTCTGTGATGCATATTTTTAAACGCTTTGGATGTCTGGTTCCTATCACCACAAATGTGAACAATCTTGACTTGGTTTCTCCAGAATGGCTCTCTGAATGACTTTGTTTACATCTTAATGATTTAATGTGTACAATTCCCCTTTAAAAGTATTCTTTTCTAGGCTTGAACGAACCACCATTTGAGTGATACGGGGGTTAGATGCTGGCTAGCATGCCAAAATGTTGAAATATTGTGTAAACAAGACTACTTTTCTGGGGATAGGAGTGACAAATCATAGTTCACACAGTTAATACAAACCCTGGGACGAGAATGAATAAAACCACACCAGTGACAGTAAATAAAAAACACTGTTTTCTTTCTTTATCCCTTCTCTTTGTTTCATATTTTGTTGCCCTTATTCCGCATTGGACAATGGGAAGGCAGGCATTGCTTTCTTCACGTTGTTGCCGTGGGTCACCGCATACGGTTGCCAAGTTTTGGGGTTACTTGGCATTTGTGGCGGTGCTGAGCATCTTCCTGACTCCCTGGGCGATGGCGTCACGGTCAATGCCAAACAGTTTGAGCAGCTCGCTGGGTTTTCCGCTGCGTGGGACATGAGCTACGGCCAGCCGGTGCACCATAAAACCAGGTTCGCTGACCACGGCTGAACACACGGCCTCACCAAGACCACCTGCAGAAGTGTACATGTATAAACCATCTACACAGACTTTCCACCCTAGATTCACTGTGAAACACTAATATTAAATAGTAAATGAAAGCTAATGAGAAAAAGTGTGTAAACCCTTTGGAATTGGAAAGTGGGTTAAGCTTCAGAGACCCCCTGTTGCAACAACTGACCATTTGCAAAATAATGATTGACAGGCCTCTCAGCCAGTCATAGCCAACTCTGTGTGCTACTTCCTCTGTCACACAAAAGAAAAACTCAGACTTATCTGTATAATTAATTCATACAATTATTCTGACAGTTGGGAAAAAATTGAGTTACCTTTCAAATGAGTCCAAGATCAAGGCTGCCCAACATATGTGAAAATAGTGCTTCTTTTACTTTGTGTATGCCATTTCAGGCAAAAATGGGGTGAGAGTTAAAAGGTTAACCATATTACATTACATTAAGGTGACCATGCATCCTCTTTTTCCAGGACGTCCTCTTTCTGGGACCTAAAAAAGACTAGGATTTCTAAATTGCCTAAAACGTTAGGAATTTGGTTTTTCCTCCTTTTTGAAAACCAGAATATGGTCACCCTACATCACATCAAACACATCTACTAATATAATTGCAATACAGAATTTCATCCATATCATGCAATATGAATGCATCTTGAGTACAAATTGGCTCCACTCAGATTTAAGAGCAGGGGAGAATACAGTAGTGGAGGAGTGAGCTACACAATTGACTGAGTGTTTGTTTTTTTGTGCCCTCTGTGCCCCTTGGGTTAACACTGACCTACATAACTGCTACAAAAAAACTGTGTATAATTTTTTGGCCTCTCTCACTGGGAGTGCATGTGTTCGTTGTCTCCTCAGTTGTGTTACTCAGTTCTGTCTAGCTCCTGCATACGTCAGCACCTAATTAAAGGTGAAAATTGTGAAAAAGTGAAAATTTTATTTAATAAGTATTTTCCCCCCCTTGACCCAAATGTGCTTGATCACCAAAGTTTGCTTGTTTAGTTTTGCACTGGAGCTTCAAGGCTAACAACAATAGCTATATAGCTAACGTAATGCACACCTAAAACCTTATATTTGCTTCAAACCCTGTTGAGTTGACAGAGAATCTCAAACTCAACTTTCTTATGTAGTTTCTGATACTGTATATGACTCACATCTAAAAAACATGGAAAGGTTGTGTGAGGCCACATGCTGTGATGCAGTGATGCATGTAGGAGTGTTAAAGGGGTAGATTAGAAAGGTAGTGCCTTGTGTGAATTATACAGATAGAACTGTCAAATATTGTATATTCATAACAGTTTGAAGCACATCTAAAATTGCATGCGAGAGAGTGAAAATGCATTGCTTAAAACAGTCATTGCATCTGCAATGGTTTGAAAAATCATGACTGGAAAAAGACTTAAAGCACATGTACCAATGAGCACATTGATCAAGATTTTAATCAAAGTTGTTAAGGTCCAACCAAAAATGCTTATGTTGAAACATTTTCCTAAAAGCTTACATACTGTTTCATTGACCCAAGCATTGATTTTGTTGATTTCTAACAGTGTATTGCATCACCATGTTGCTGGATGACTTGATGCATAAAAATGCTGTATAAAAAAATGGAAGTGAATGCTTCAGTGATCTATAAAAGGTTGAAGTGCACAGAAACAATCTGCATTTCTAATGTTAGAGCTAAAGTCTTATACCATAATGCCATGTTCTATATTTAAGTATGTAACGCTCACCTTCATGGTAGTGGTCCTCCACAGTGATGATGCGACCCCTCGTGACTTTGGCATTGTCTATGATAGTCTTTGAGTCCAGGGGTTTAACAGTGAATGGGTCAATCACACGGATATTGATCCTCTCTGGGAAGACAAGATATTGTTGATATTATATTGAATATCCTATGAAGCCATAGTGTACAAACCCAATTCCAAAACAAGGTAGGTAGGTAAAATGCAAGGAAAAGGAAGTCAGTGATTTATAAATCTACTTTTGACCTGATGTACTTTATTAACTTCATTGTTTTTTGTAAATATACACTCATTCTGAAATGATGCTTATCACCACATGGCCTCAGGAATACTTTGAGAACCTATGTCAATAAACACCGTGTCCACAAAGTGCAAGCAGATGTCATGCACAGCAGAAGTCCTATGTCAACAAGTCTAGAAACACTGCTGACTTCTCTGGGCTCAGGCTCATCTGAAATGTACTGATGCACAATGAATACATGTACTAGGGTATGATGAGTCAACTATTCAAATTATTTATGGAAATAATGGCCCTTGTGTTCTCTGGGACAAAGAAGCAAAGAACCATCCAGACTGTTACCAGCATAAAGTTAAAAAGTCGGGGTCTATTATGGTATGGAGGGGTAATTAAGCACTAATAAGTGGGTAGCTTGCACATTTTGAATGCACTATTAACATTGAACACACTTTAGAGCAGCATATCGCTGTTGTCAGAAGAAAACCTTTTATCTCAATTTTTGTCGTTTTTCAGTTTTTTAAATAATTTGAAAATACTTGTTACCCTGTACATTTTTTGTAAATTCCATGATGAATGGACCAAAAGAAATGGCCCAAAATTACTTGGAAAAATGTCTGGTTCCATTGACTTACATTAAAAGGAAAGTAGGTTTTTTCCTTCTCCTGTAAAGTTACCATTTTGGAGATAGATACAAGGTTTTCTACAGACAACAGCGATATGCTGCCTAGATGACGTCTTTGTTACGAACATCCATGCTTATTTCAACATGGCTGATCAGAAAGTGCAGCTGCTAGACTGGCCTCGTCACCCACTGAAAACATATGTTGAATCTTTAGGCTCAAAATACAACAATTAAGTTCCTTTACATCTGCACAGCTTGTATAACATTAGAATGGCAAAAAAAAATCGCTTTCAAAATTGGATCAGTTTCATTATTAAGTGTTGTTGAAAGGAAAGGTGATGTAACGCAGTGGTGAACATACAAACATGCAAGTTCATAATGTAAAACATAAAGTTTTGTTTTTGTATCATTTTCAGTTTAATACATGTCAATCAGAACTTGTGTTAGCAACTAACATACTGTCTCAATTTAAAAAAAAAATTGGGGTTGTGCATAATGTTCACCTGAATGGGTTAAAATATTTACAGTATTGCATTCCTATACTAGGTGCCATCAAAGATTAATAATGCTAAGGACAGAAAGAAAGCAAATACATAGAAACTGGGCACTAAGCTTGTTCTCTATAGAGGATGTGTACTTTCACTTTCACACAATCAACAAAGCAAACCTTCAGTGAGGGGGTGTTCAAACTTTTGCATACTACTGTATAAACCTGTGCCTATGGTGCCTCACTGTATGCTGTACCTTTCTTTAGCTGCTCAGCTGCCGAAAGTGCCTCATGCAGAGTGACCCCTGCTCCAATCACAGTGACGTGGTCATCATTGCTCTTGTATACGACCTGCGAGTAAATGTCACTATGAGTATAAGATGATCCACATCATCGCCAAGGGAGGAGTTCATTTGATGCACATACCTTCGCCTGTCCCACACGGAAGTCTTCGTTGTTGTTGTAGATGATGGCATTTTCTGGGCGACTAGTTCTGATGAAACAAAGACCCTGAAAAAAAGGAAGTTGAGAGAAGAACAACCACCTCAGCCTCTTTATAGACTATCAGCGTTTTTACACTGTACAGGGTAAACAGTGAAATATAAAGATTATGACATTTACCAGATTGCGAACCTTGAAAGTTGCAGTTGTCAGCAGTTACATTTCATAAGGATTGTCCCATTTCAAAAGAACATGGAGAATCCTTGAAATGCAACCAAGAAATTCTTAGGATGCACCAATAAATCCTTCTAAGCCTCAATTTCCCATAATCCCTTGCATTACTAGTTGTTTAAGACTAAATGTTTTAAATATCTATTTCTCCTTCATTGGTTGTGAACAGAACTTTCATTTTTCTACATTTATTGCCAGTAAAAGTTGTTTTGAATGAGTTATTTTGTTAAGCGCTACATTGTTAGCATAGCTGTTTATTATTAGCTAGACAAATCAGTTTGAAGGAAGGGGTTCAGCAAAAAATCTTATTCATACAATTTTCTACATACCCCAGAGGTCGCAGATCAACAAGTCAATAGTACCCCAAATCTTTTCCATTAATACATTCCCAAAACTTTTCTTTTAGGTCTTGATTAAGGTCACTAAGACTTGTCAGTGTGGTTTAAGACACAGTATGACTTACTGTATGAGCTATAAAAATGAACTAAAATTCACCATGTAGCTGAATGCTGTGGGTAGCCTTTAGACAAAAGGTGTTGTGCTAAATTCCAACTCCCCTTTCAAGTGCGTGAAGTTTTCTGTAGTTTTCATTGATAAATAATTCTTAATCTTGAATTTTTCAACTTAAAGATACATATTATTTAAACATGTTTATAAATAGAAATGTCTGAATGTAATCGAGAGTCCATATGCCCACATGACGTTCATCATATGAAACATGCGTTCAGCTACACTGTGAAGTCATACTGTGTCCCAAACCACAGACAAGTTTGTGCCACTGTAATGAAGATCTGGTGTCAGGGAATCGAAAGAAGTTTTGGGGGGAAAGATTTGGGTGACTATTGACTTCTAGTTAGCAATGTTAGCCTCGTGGCTTCAGCACAAAAAATTTGGACATCAAACATGACTGGGCTGATCGACTACATCTAGGATAAGAGGACAATTGTGTACGTATCATTTTTTTACCAAACCATTCCTTCAAGGATCTACAGCCATGAATCGTTGATAGACTCATGCATTTTCCTCTGTATTTGGTGCAAGCCAGCTGCTAAAGATGTGGTCTAACTTGCAGCGATCTTATGATCAAGACATATCCACTGTGCACGTACTGATTCATAGAGAATTATGGGTACCTTTGTGTTAGCGGCCAGCTCCACAGCTTTCTCAGTGGACACTCCGTCGCTAGGATAGAACACAGTCGCTGTGGGAATGGCTCGGAACATAGCCAAGTCTTCCAGGCCCATCTGAGAGGGACCATCCTCTCCTGAAACACCAGGGCACACAAGTCATATGCAGAAATGCTAATACTGGCAAACCAAATGCGCACAATGGCAAACTGGCATGCGCTGCAGTGTCGGACCACACGGCATGCAATGTACCTGGAGAAGCTAAAGGAAAACCAGGAGCCCTCGCACCACTTCCACATGACACACAGAGAGAGAGGGAGGAAGGGAGAGAGGGACCGAATGACTGAATGCCACGGAGTGCAAGTGTGGAGAAATGAAGAGGAGGAGGAAGATGTGAGGAAAATAAACAGGAAGAACTGAACAAGAGAAGGAGAAATAGTGGCTCATACTGGCTGTACAAGATTGAAAGGATAGTTCACAACAAAAAGCCAAATTGGGAAACAGAGCTGATGGAGACTATTTAGCAAGATTTAGATAATGCTAACTATCACTGATGTTTACTAAATGCCGTATTTTTGTGTTAACGGGTAAAACAGTCCTTTAAACCTACAGTCGTATGCAAACGTTTAGGCACCCCTGACATGACATGTTTTGTTGATTTTTTTTTGTTGAAAACAAGTTCACTTACAGAGAACACACATTTTAATGCACAATTACTGATTATTTATTTGCTGGATTTAACATATTGGCAAAAAATAAAACATAAAATGTGGCCTGTGCAAAAGTTACAGCGCAATGTGTATTTTATGTTTTATTTTTTTCAATATATTGAAATTGTGCACTAAAACAGAAAAAAATGCAGAAAAACGCTATATTTAAGTTTGTTCCCCATAATTTGACCGGAGGTGCTCAAACCTTTCCATACTGTAAAAGTATGTGAAAACAAGGAATGGCTGAAAATGCTACATTAATATGTTATTGTTTCTATTTTCAGTTTATTAGCATTCAACATTATAAAGGTTCAATATTTATATAAACAGAAGTTGTGCTTTATAGTGTTCTGATCTAATGCTGTTGCCACAAGCTAACATGTTAGCCACAAGCTAACATGTTAGCCTCAAGCTAACATAGTAGGCCGAAGCTAACATGCTAGTCACAAAAGAATGATACAATTCAACAAACTATGATACGCTGATATACTCTTAATGTGCTTTGCTACCAAACATACACTTTCTTAAAGACAACAACAATGATGGGTTCATTTTACTAAAAAGAATCTAAAAAATGAAGAACATCTAATTTAGATGCATCACAGGCTTAACCCTAATACACTCAGTACAATAACTGAAGTAGTTCTAGAAGCATCTTCTTTATAGGACTTTATGTTGTCAGGCATTCGGTCCCAAAAACTGAATCACTTGAAACTGAATCACTTTAAAACACTTAATTGTGCACAGAAATACTATTATACTACACCATAAGATAAACAGGTCAGAGGTTAGGTGACACTAACCGATGGACACACCGCAGTGTGAACCGCAGAGGTTGATGTTGCTCTCTGAGATGGCAGCCATACGCAGTTGGTCGTAGGCACGGGTGAAGAATGTGGCAAACGTGGAGGCAAAGACGACATTGCGATCCCGAGCAGCGCAACCAACTGCTACACTCACCTGGAAGAGAGAGAAATATGAAAGAAATGGTGCTTAGAGCTCAACTTTATTCATGGAGTACCCACTGCCCTACACATTTAGTGCATGTGTCAGGCTCCAGTCCTTGTGGGCCAAAACACTGCAGACTTCAGCAGACTTCAGCACACTGCCTCATTCAACATGGCTGATTCAGCTCATCAGCTAATTAGCAGTGCCTTCATGAACTGAATTCAGAGCCTTAAATGAGGGTACACGCTAATCTCCATTTTACCTTGGCCCTGAAAGCTCCCTGGTTTGGCATGCCTGTTTTAGTGTTTTCCCTGCTCCATGTACACCTAATTCAACTAAGCAATTCAACTAATTAGCAAGCCCGTAGTGCAGTGGTCTACAATTTTGGTCCTGGAGGGCTACCTTTCTCCAACCTGTATCCAATAAGCTGCCCCCATCACTTACTTAACTCCAATACATGTATTCCAGGCAATGAGTGACTTGGGAACAGGTTGATTAGCTGGAGCAGGTGTGGCAAATTGTGATTGGAACTATTGATGGAAGGTAGCTCTCCAGGGCCAAAGTTGGAGACCACTGCCTTAGTGAGTTAAAGTGGCCGTTTCGAGCAGAAAAACACAAAAATGTGCAGGGCAGGGGCAACTCAAGGACCAGGGACGGGAATCTGTGCTCTAGCCCATTCATTATTAGTTATTTTATGACCACAGGACTGTAGTTGTAGTGGCCCAGTGGCCTAATGGATAAGGCATCAGCCTCCGGAGCTGGGGATTGTGGGTTCGAGTCCCATCTGGGTCGTTGTATGGAATTACAAAAATGTGTCTCAGCATGGTATATCAGGCGCAGTAGTATTGCTGGGCTTTTTATACATCAATGCTAGTTTAAGAGTGGTCCGCCACCCACAAATATCCAGAAACAGATGAGTTACTGTCTCTAACTGTACACCAGCATGGTGTAGATACAAGGCAGGGGTTTCTAACAAAGTTGCAAGTAAGTAAAATACGTCTTGCTGAAATGGTTTTTGTAAGTCTCTCGATTATGTCAGATTGTGCAGTAAAGTCCTGAGCATAATGCAGGAAGCTTTGGCCAGGCATGTCAAAATCATAAAATTTTAGCTAAATAATTGACTTATAAATAACTGAAACAGTTAAATTTAACAATTTAAAATTTTTGTTCATTGTATGCAACAATTAAAGTACAATTACAGATGGTAGTTTACTGACTGTAATTCATCTGTTGCCATGCACTGTTTGTCAGCTGCCTTCTAAAACATTCATCATTGTCTCTGCTGTTAATGTTATTATGGGGTGACTCAGTGGCCTAGTGGATAATGCATCAACCTCCCAAACTAGGGATTTTGTGAGTTTGAGTCCTATCTAGGTTGTTGTGGGTTTCCAGAAGCATGCTTCAGTGGTCTAACTCACCTCAACCGACAACATACAAAGCTCAAATAAGCAAACATTACTCACCACTGACCTCTAAAGGTCTGATATGCCTCAATAAATGCTCCCAACTGTTTACTGTGATGTAAACATAGGAGTGCAAAACCAGTCACACTAAATAATTGTGATTAGTTCACAAATTGTGCTCACAGGATTATGTATACTTGTGACAAGCCTAGCCTTGGCACTTCTTTTTTTTTCCTTAATGGATCCTTCCAAATTGCATTGTAAAATCTGTGAAATATACTACACTTTACAGCAGCAGCGAGTCAGAGCCTGCTGGCCCTGCTGCAGGAATTTAGCAATTCTGGCTTCTTTCCATTGCAAAACTTTGATGTGCCAGTCAATTTCCTGTTCTTTGCCTCCACAAAACTTACCATGATCTCCTTGGATAGTGCAAGACATGAGAATTCAACACATTTACCAGGCCAAATCCTGACTCAGAGCTGAGTTTTAAGAAGAAAAGTTTCAGTACACTGCTCAAGAAGTAAGAAAGTAAGTAAATACGTTTTATTTGTAGAGCACATTTTTCCCACCAACAGTTTTCCACTTACATCAGTCTCAGTTAACACCACTACACAAAGTCAGCACAACACATTCAATAAGACCAATCAAATACACTTTAAGCTTGGATTTAAAGATGATCATTAATGATGCCTGTCTGTCAGTTGGTAGGCTGCTTCAGATTTTTGGTGCAGAAACAGCCAAAGCACAACCACCTTTTAGTTTAAGGAGAGATCGTGGAACAATCAGAAGTAATGGAGAGGCTGACTTTAGAGATCTTGTAGGAGCACATAGGCAAAGCATATATCGTCACTGTCTGAATAAAACCTTTTATTTCCATTTGTGCTGTTTTTTATGTTTGTTTCAATTTGAAACACATTACAATGTATGTGGAGCAACAGAAATGTTGTTCCTTTAACTTTCATTCACATTTAAGAAGGTTCTTTCTTCTACAGTGGACTCTAAAAATGTAGTTTTCTCTCACATTTACATGCAGTTTTATGCAGAGGTTTTAAGAACTCTGGTCAAATTACATGTTTTGTTGATTTTCTAAGCGACAATAAGTTAACACATCATGTCTTGAACATGGCAATTTTCTGCACTTTATAATGCATAATGACTGTTTATTTGATGAGTTTAATGTGCTGGAAAAAACATACATGCACAGTCATTACATAACCTGAAAAAAAACATTTTACATGTCTTTTCTAATATATTGAGCAAATAAACAGTAATTGCACATTAAACTGTGCGGAAGTGTGTTCTCTGTAGAGGAGGTGTTCACTCATTTTCACTTAGAGCATGAAAGATATCATTTACATACCATTACATACAACCGTATATCCACCTAGTCAACCTATAGCAGTTTAGCCCTGCCCATTCATACTGAAGTTATAAAGGGTGTTTCAACTCATGCTGCTTTTTCAATGAGGCCCAATACATGGCAGCTAATCAGAACAGAGGTAATTGACACATATGAGTCTTAAAGGTACAGTATCGAAAACCAAGCCTGTTTAATTGTAAGCAATAAAAAGAGGCTAGAAAATGGTCTTGTATTATAATGTATAATGTAGGTAGCAACAATAACATTATAAAAAAAGCAAAAAAGAGTAAAGCATGTCTAAATGGAATAATCAGAGAACAAACACAGAAATAAAATGAATTTAAGTTTTTGGACCTGTCGAGACAGTGGAATTCAGGTGGAACTACATTTTGGGATCCTTTCTGAGGACATTTACAATCAAACATCTTTGTAATGTCACTTAAACGTGACAGAATTCAAACTGAAAGCAGTTCACATACCATGTTCTGCTCTGCGATGTAACACTCCACATAGCGGTTAGGGCATTCGTTCTTGAAGATTTCCGAGAAGGTGGAGTTTTTTGTGTCTCCATCCAGAGCGATGACACGGTCATTGTAGCGTCCTAGTTTAGCCAGAGCCATCCCGTATGCCTTCCTCGTGGCAACCTGGGAACATGACACATCAAACTAAAATTTGTAAAAACGTGTAAATGTTTTCAAGTATTAATTTAACTACATAACATACAATCATTTAAGCACATCTTAGTCAATGTTTATTAGCAAATTGGAAAATAATAATAATAAATAATAAGTTCAGTTTATATAGTGCCTTTCACAAACCCAAGGACATAGTACATAGTATCAAAAAAAAAAATTAGAAGACTACAGAAAAGAAAAAAGGAAGGTTTTTAGCAGAGATTTGAAGGAAGACAAAGAAGAACAATTGCGAAGAGTGGAAGGTAGAGAATTCCAGAGTTTGGGGGCAGCAGCACTGAAAGATCTGCCACCCATAGTAGAAAGTCTAGTTGAGGGAACTGTGAGGAATCCAGAAATAGAAGATCAGAGAGCATGAGAGGGACAGTATAATGAAATGAGATCAGAACGGTATGTCAGACCCAGACCGTGAAAAGCCTTGAAGGTAAGAAGAAGGATTTTGTACTTAATCCTAGAACTAATAGGAAGCCAATGCAACTGTCGAAGAATAGGAGTGATATGAGCTGTACGCTTGGTGGAGGTAAGAACACTGGCTGCTGAGTTTGGATGTACTGAAGACGCTTGATTAGTTTAACTGGAAGGCCATAGAAAAGTGAGTTACAGTAATCGATGCGAGAGAAGATGAAGGCATTGATCAACATTTTAGCGTCAGCGTCACTCAGCATAGGGCATAAGCGCGCAGATGATAAAATGCAGTTTTGGTGACTAGGTTATATATATAAATATATATTATAAATGTATTATATATATATATATATATATATATATATAATATATATATATATATATATATATATATATATAAATAATAATTAGTAACAGTTTAGTCCCACCCATACATTCTGAAGTTATGAAGGCTGTCTCAACCACGGGCTACTTTCTAGAAACACTTATATGCATGTTTGGACTTTTTTTGGAATTTTATTAACTTTACACCTAAAGACAGTATTTTCTTTTAATTTTAGGGCACAGTTTCTATTTGTGCTGCATTTAACATATTTTCCGATATTCTAATTTGTTAAATCCAGTATATAAACAGTAATTGTGCATTAAAATGTACAGAAGCATGTTCTGTAGAGCATGCGTACTTATTTTCACTTAAAAAAAATCAATAAAGCGTGTTAGTGCCCCAGGACCCACCGCAGAATTTGGCTGTGACCATTCCAGAGACGTGTCGTACCTTGTCTCCGAGTTTATAGCTGGGTGCGGTGGGCATGCGGATGTTCTTCAGGCTGACCGGTAGAGTGTCCTCAGCAGGTGCGGGCGGGTACAGACGCTTGCTGCTGTTCAGAATGTGGCTCTGTAGATCCCTTATCACGCTCTCAGCCATGTCCTTGGGCAGGGGTTTACCGTGCCAGCCCATCTTATCCTCTGCCGCTGTGAACACACACACATGCAGATGTACACACTTATTATCCTCAAAACTCTGAAACTGAAGGAGTAGAGAATTAAACCCTGCACATGGGGAGATCTCCAGTAAAGAAATTTTCACAAACGTTTTATACTGACTCACTGTAGATGGTTTGTAGATGATCACTCTAAATATCTAATAACTTCAACTTCAAATTCTAATTAAATCCTAAACATAACATGCTAAGCCTGATTCTAACCTCAGCCCTTAACCTATTCCTAAATGTAATGCTAACACTTTTGATATTCAACAGAGTATCACCATGTAGTTTGTTAATACATTTGAAAATGTATTGTATGCTATTAAGTACTATTAAGTAATAAAATAAAATAAAATAAAAGAGCTTTCTGTTTTTTTATTTACATGTCTTTGCCTTCACCTAAAACATGAAAAAGTATTCACATTCTGTTTGTGGTGATGTAAACACTGTAAATGTATGATCGTGAAAGCTAATGACTGTAGAATAACTGAAGTGAGCTCATATAATTGCAATCAGACGATCCTGTAATACTATTGACAGGCATAGTCACTATCAATTATTTTAACAATCAAGTGATTTTATGAAGTAATCAAAGAACATTAATAATAAATCTCAAAAAAATCCAGCCCTTCCAGAAAAGTGGCATGTAAGGGAAAATCACTGGAAACAGAATCTTAAGAATCTTAATTTAGAAATATATAAAAACACTATGGCAAAAAAATGAAATATATGGATGCATCCATCAAGTTCTGTTATTTAATATTGTTATTAATTAAAAAAGGTCAGTTAACTGATAAGCAATCATAACGGCCATAACACACACCACCTAGGCCACAGACCTGCTGTAGTTGTAATAACAGGTCACTGGGTCGTGTAAGAATAACTAGGCCTAAAACAACAGGCAGACAAAGGCAGAAGAGATGAATGCACAGCCTACACATTCTGCAGGATTAGCTAGCGCCTGCTGCTAATGCGCTAAAGCACCGGAGCACTGCTTGGGGATTTTCCTCACAGGCAGCCTTCATCAAGCAAATCTACAAACACGCATGAGGTGTATTCACTTACAATACAAAGCATATAGGATTTATGACTCCAAAGCCATGTGTCTTGTGTAGAGGATTTGGGGTGCAGTGCGCAACGCATTAGCACAAAGGTGGGAAGTGCTTTTTAACAGCAGTATTAAAGACTATAAGTGATTAATATATCACCATATTGTGGGTGTATTTACTAATCCTGGACAACATTTCTATTATTGGTCTCCAATAATGTATAGAAATATACACTACAGATCAAAAGCAGGACTGTGCATTTTAGAGGAAAAGGGGCTCAAAAGGGCAACATGAACATTTAATGTACTGTATACTGCAATCTCTCTTATCAAAAGAGACAGTGTAATCCATTTTTATATAAAACCAAACATAGTGTTGAGTTTTTCCAAAGGCAGCCCAAAATATTAACATTACTCTTAATGCAGGGATTTGAACCCCTCAATCATGCAAAGCAATGTCATTATTCACTACACTATTTAAACACTGTGTAGTATTTAGTTATAACTCTATTTAAGAGCGAAACTCCAAAATAAATAATAATAAATTCTTAACTTGCAATGGAAGATTTTTTTGTCATTTTGGACCTTTTCTGTTGGTTCATTTATCATGAAATTTTTACAAGGTAATAAATAAATGATTACACCAACCAAGAAGGCACTTGTACCATCTGGGACAGTACCTCAAACCCCATCTGGGGTCTACTTGTGCACATGTCCGGTCAAATATATGGAGTTTTTTTGTTTTTTAGTTTTACCTGGAATGCCCTTTCCTTTGATGGTCTGGGCGATGATGGCAGTGGGCTGGTGGCGTGGCTGGCACAGAACTTTACACAGCTCCTCCACACTGTGACCATCTACTATGATGGCTTGCCATCTACACACATGCACACACACACACACACACACACACACACACACATACAGAATAGGGTGTGTTAGAGGCAAAAGATGTTATAAGTTACAGATTTCCAGCACTGGAACAGAAAAACTCCAAAGTTTGAACACACCTGACTGAATGTTTTTCATAATCTTAAAGATATTTTGATCTAAAGGTTTAAGGCAGGTTTCACTGAGCGATAATCATCGCAATAATGCTGTCACTGACACCAATCACAAATCATGAAAGAATTCTTTGATTATAGATTGAAATCAGTGGTCTTTAGACGTTTAATGTGACTGACTCCATGGCAACTGATTTACTGCTGTTGCGAACAATAATAAAAATCTGGCAGTGTCCGAAATTTTAGTCCAAAATCTCACAGTCTGACAACACATGGCTAAAAACAATCAATAAAGAGCGGCCTAGAATGACTTGTGTGCGCAAGAGTGAGATTGTGATGATAAATGAAGGTAAAACTATATTGCTCACGAGTTTAAGAATATTAGCTTACGTTATTATGTTATCTGGCCCTTGGTTCACATATAGAGTGACCTGCAATGAAAAAGCAACTACTGTGCTACTGCACAGTGGACAGAAAAATTTGCCTAGAGAATGAGCATTCTATGTAGCCTAGCTCCCAGTCTTCAGCCAAGGACAGCTCCTACCTCTCTTTCTTAGCCATTTACTATATTGGCAGTATAACATCATTTTTGCTTGCTCTATTTTGTAGCAAAAAAAGAAAGCACATGTGGAATATCATCATTTTCTTGAATTGTAAATTTATCACCAGAAAATCTTTAATGCATAAGCTGACGTGCAGCACGACTGAAGTCGCAAAGTCTGACATTGAGTTTGGCCCAGATTTTATTTTATCAGCTTCTCGTGCAGTGTGATATACAGCAAACATACAAACCCGCTGTAATCACACAGTATAAAGCTGGCTTTAGTCTTAAATGTTTGAAATGTGTTTCTGAGACAAATCTAAAGAGCGAAATTTGTGCATGTGAAAAAATATGCCTCCCCCAACAACTTGGAATTGGAAAACACTGAACCAGTCACACTATCATCCTGATGTGCCTCATTAAAGGTTAATTTGTGGAATGTTATTGTTAAATTTGAACCAAGCAGTGTTCTTCCACCATGTTGTAGGGCAGAGTTATAAATATGTGATCTCATATTTTATCATTTCAACTGCCACATGACTTGTTCCATACTTGAGTACCCATGCTGAATTTGTTAGCCTTCTTGCTGGGGTACCAAGCATGCCAACTGAATGATTGTAAGATGTATTATTCCATAGTTTTGATGTCTTCACTACACTTCTGATAGCACAAGTAAAAGAAAGAAAACATTCTGTGAGTGTTTTCTAAATGACTGTTTCTGTAGGAATAATGATGAAGAGGATAGTCAACAAACTTCTATGAGCAAAAATCTACAATAACTAAAACTATACCAATACACACACACACACACACACACACATACTGTATATACACATGCATACTTACCCAAAGGCCTCGCAGCGTTTCTGGTACTTCTCCACGTGGTGCTGCAGTGGCGTGGGGTCACTCTGGCCCAGCCGGTTGATGTCCAGAATGGCCACTAAATTGTCTAGCTGATAATATGAAGCAAAGGCCATGGCCTCCCACACCGAGCCCTCAGACATCTCACCATCGCCCAACAAACAGAAGACACGGTAACTAGAGGACAAGAATGAGGGAGAGGGAAGATAAAGAGATTAGAAAAGAGTTTGTTTCATAAAAATTCATAAAAAACTGAGACTTCAAAAACTGTAATGCAAAGATGCATCCATTTCCAGGTTCATTTGAGTTATACAGTATATGTATTAAACAAACAGTGAAACTTCAGTTGTCTTATAGTATAAAAAATGTGTTTTCTTTGAAGACTAGTTTATCTTGCAACACCCTGCATGCACCTCTCTATCATGAATGGATTTTTAAAAAACATTTTTAGGCCAAAACCTCTCCCAAAAACTATCATAAAGCAATATCTTAGGCATATGATGACATATTCATATCATTTATCATGTAATAACTGTGAGGGAGCTTTTAGAGGCAGTAAACTCTTTGTCTGGACGTCTGGTTCCTATCACTACCACTGTGAACACTTCTGACTTGGCAAGTTTTCTAGAATGGAACATGTCACATCAAATCACTCTGAATGACTGTTTGCATCTTAGTGATTAATTATACAGAAATGTTGTGATGATGTAATGATGTACTCCCATTTAATCTTAAGGCTTATTATTCAGTGGCTACTGCTAACTGCTATAAACCGATATAAAATAGTGTGGGAATCTCAGAGAAGTATAAGTTATAAATGCAAGGCCACTACAAGTTTTCAAGTTCATTTTTCAAGAGATATGTCTGAGCAGATTATAAGGTAAGATAATCCTTTTGCATAAGGAAGGGAAATGTATGTAAAAACCAGTGAAAAACAGGAGTTTCTAAAACTGGAGTTCAAAAAATAAAGACTCCTAATAACTGTGCAGGACCGGGTAGACCACAAAAACTGCCACCATTAGAAAACAGTACTTAAAGCTTTCATTTTTGGAGAGAGACGGGACAATCAAGCTCTGCTCTTGCTTCACATCTGAAAAAATCCACAGGAGTTTCTGTCCATACTTCCACTGTGAGAAGAAGACAACACAACACTATGAGTCAGAAAGGATGTGTAGCTGTCAAGAAGCCATTACTAAGAAAAAGGAATATACAAAAAAAGAAGAGAATATCTCTGCAGATTTCTTTGAAAAACTGAAAGCAAGTCTCCCGAAAAGTTTTTTTTCCCATAATTTGAAAAGTTAATAACTGTTTTGACTGGAAATTAAAGCAGCACTACGTAAGATTTTTTAAAAGAAGTGGCATTACTGAGTCAGGAAAAAAAAAACAAAAACACAAAAATATGGTGTGCGTGTGCTGCTGCGAGTCCCCCTGTAAGGCCTAAAATAATGATTTAAAAGAAGTATTTCAGACCAAATCATATGTCTTTACGAGTCAAAAAGAAAGTCTGGCTCAATGTTTAGGTCCCAAAGGCAAAACCAACATTATACTGATGAAGATATGATGACAATAGCAGATAATTCATTTACATCCTCAGAAGACATGTCCTTCACCAAGTTTATACTGAGTTCTGTTACTGTTCTTCCACACATTGAGTGCAATTACATATCTTCACCAGAGAGGTCTCTAAATTCCCAAATCTTACATAGTGCAGCTTTAAATAAATAAAGGGTGGTCTCTGGCTTTTATACAGTACTAAGGGGTAAAGAAAGAAAGAATGAAATAAAGAAAGAGGTGGATATTGTGGTGTGACTACAGCAGTACACTTTGGATGGAATGTTTGCAGTGTGTGACAAACAGTTAGTAGCTTCTGCTAATCTGAGCTTTAACTCTTCTCTGTTTCTGCTCACTGCAGACTGAATCACAGACATCTTACCAAACATGTACTGACACACATGCACTAATATGCTGAAACACACCTCCCTTCACACACACAGACACTCTCTCTCTCTCTCTCTCTCTCTCTCTCTCTCTCATTCTCTCCTCCTGAGGAGTTAACAGGGTCTGACAGCTTTCCAGTCAAATAATCATGTTTGTATTAAAGTGCTGAGATCAGACAAGACACTGAGCATTATCCCACGCATTCCACCCTCACCACACGAAGAACAGCATTCCACACCTGCTTCAAAGCATACACACGGTGATAGAATGAATGCACAATATCCTTCACTCAATTTCAAGAATAGATTTTTAAACATACAGTATAGATCACAGTAGGACTGAAAGATGAATCATTTTTTATATTAAAATTGTTAATGTAAATTGTAATTTATTATATATGTAATTGTATACTTATATACTAATTATGCATTTTTAATGTACAGCCTGTTTTATCAACACAACTGGGGACAATTAATCTAATAACATGGGGCTTGTAAACTGCTTGTAGATACATTAGACGAGTCAGAAGCAACCACTGTGCTGTGTACATGACAGGGATATATTTGAAATTTCATTAGTTTTTTATTTGTATTTAGTTTTTCATTTTGGTTTTTGATTTCAGTTTAGTTTCAGTTAGTTTTAAGGATGCATTAATAGTTTTTGTTCTGTTTTTATTTTCTGAAAGTAACAGTTTAATTTAGTTTTTATTTCGGTTCAGTTTTAGTTTTAGTTTTTAGTATTATGATAGACCCTGTGATAGTAGGTACTTCATAAGGGTGGAATAAAACTAAAACAGTAGACTGAGCTCAGCTCAGCTATAGCTTTCCTTAAAGACACCCAAACACAGAAGGTATCCACTGCTAAATTCTCATTTACAGCTACAGTTTTAGTTACTTTTGCAGTGGGCATTTCAGTTTTGATTTAGTTTTCACATTTTGAGAACTTTAGCAGTTTTTTTACTGTTAGATACTTGGTACACGACAAAACAGCCACAAATAACCAGTAGTCTGGCACAATACATTCAGCATTCAAACCTCAAGCCAGAAAAAGTGGATTATCTGGCCCTCTTGTTCAAAATAACAGGCCTAGATCTTAGTTAATTAAAAAAAATGAAAATTAATTAAATTTAATATTCATCAGAAAAATCACGTTTAGATATTTTTATTTCAGAACTGTATGGTACTAGACAATAGTACATACACTTAAAATTGCCTTACTTTATTATAGGTAATAAAGTATGTTGTAGATAACAGCAGTAAGACCAAAAATGAAATAGCTTTGTGACAGAGGCAGTCAGATTTTCATTTAAAATTTCATGGTATTTAAATGGAGACCAAGATTCCATATATCCTAACAAGGTTCCTAGGCCCACTGGAGGAAAAACAGCTCAAAACATCACAAATCTTCCACCATACTTTTCTGTATAACCATCCGTTTTTTATGACAAATCCACCTTGAGTGTTTGTTACCAAAAAGCTCTATTTTTGGCTCATCTGTGTGTAGAACCCATTTTCAATTAGAGCTCCAGTAGCATTTAGCAAACTAACGACACATTTGTGGTTAGATGAAAGAAAGTGCTTTTTTCTGGCATGCCTTCCAAATTTTTTGGCGTGGCGGTGGCGTCTAATTGTAGGTTTGTAGACTTGGTGACCCCAAAATGCAACCATCTTCTGCAAACCTCCAGCCATGATTCTTGGAGAAATTATAATAATAAACATGCAACCTTTTCCAGGCAGTTTCACTACAGCTCTGGTTGTTTTAAACTTCTTAATTACTAACAGTGGATTAAGGCGTTGTCAGCCATGTAGTTTTTGTAGATTTGCTAGTCAATTAATTTTTACTGGCAGTATGAGGGAAGACTGTGATTGATAAAGGGGAGAGAACTGGCTGGAGTTCTGGGTGGCTCCTGCTTAGAGCTAGACAGTCAGACCCCCCTGACAGATAGAAATGAGGAACAGGAAGGAAATAAGGTGGTGGTGGCTATTGTGAAATTTTCATCACGGGAAATGGAAGGTTGTGTGGACTCTCCCTATACAGTTAAGGGAACTGCAGTTTACATATGCATTCATTAGAATGTCCTGTAATGGCATCATCAAACACAAAGCAACATTTGCTTTTCAAGAGACACACACTGATGGGTTAACTGCAAAGTGATAAACTGTTGTTCACTATATCCTAAGCAGTTTTAAGTTCCTTTCCAATGGAGCATTTTCACTCCCTATGGTTGAGAATCACCCTTAAAATATCTGAATATCCTGTGTAGTCCTTACGATCACCCCTAATAAGTAGGACTTATTAGGGGTGATCGTAAGCTGTGTCCAAAACTGCATAATACTATGCATATTACTCTAATGAATGGACTGTTAATGGCGGCGGACTAGTTTTTACATACTATTTATTCTGGTAATATGTGGTTTTGGACTCAGCAAGGGAATTTGTCCTTTGTGTCACCTCATATTTATACCTCAATGAAACAAAGAGTTCCTGAATACTAAGGTAGAAAAAAATGTTAATTATAAAAGGGGACATGTGTCAGTTGCATTTTGTTCATTAGAATTTCTGGGGTTGCCAATAATTATGAATTATGAATTATGTTTTGTTTTGTTCAAAATATTTCTTGAGAAGGATTTATGTTTTGCTTATGTTTTTGTTTAATTTAAAAGATTTGATGATATTTTTACCCATCTTACCTAAGGGTGCCAATACATAGCTGAGTGTACATACACATTAAAGAAAGAAAGAAATGAAAGTGGGTTGCACAAACAATTTTTAAAAAATAAGAAATAACCTGCAGAGCTGTGTGAAAGTCAGCATTTGGCACTTCACATTATAAAATGTGTGGTAATCTTTGGGCCTGGAGCACTGGGGATAATGATAACATCAACAGAGCACACACCCAAAATCTACACACACCTCACTGACGCTGATGTGACAACTCACTGGAGATGCCAACATGGATCTGTATATGTAAAATGATCAAATAACTGAAGTTATAGGTACAATATTGAGCAATAGTGCATGGCCAATATGAAAATTCTGTGACCGATACTGACTTTTTGGGGCTAAAAATTATGATAATCAATCATATAAAAGCATCATACTGATGTCCACTCATGATGTTTATGTGGTTTTACATACAAAACAGTTCTAATTCCAATTTCTTGTTACTGTATATTTAAGACTGAAATATGTAAATGACTTCTGCTCTGATTGGCTACCCTGTAATATGCACTCAAAAAGGTTGAAACACTCTTTCATCATAAATAGGTGGAGGTAAACTGTTGTAAGGTGAATAGAAGAATAATGGTATCTACATCATGCGACCTCACGAGAATAGATTTTAGAATACATTTAAAAGGGACTGTTTTTGCAGCTTAATTTCAAGATGTGGACTGTATGGAATGGGAAGTGAGCAATTTTGAAACTTCAACAGTGTTTACATATAACATTTCACTGTTTTATTTAAAAATGAGTTAGTAAAAATTTATTTTTCCATGATAACGGCTCTTTAAGTGCAAATAACAATAACAGCAACAGCGACTTCTATTATATAAATTTTGCAGCACTGTGGAGGGAGCTTACTCATTATTCTTTGCAGTTTTGTATCTTTGATATGTTATCCTTATTCTGAAGAGCTTGAAAAAATCTGCAAATGCAATGATTTGTCTCTAAAGATTTATGGCGCTTTATGTCAAAGAAGGTAGAAGGAAAGGAGAGAAGAAAAAAGAAAGAAGAAAAGGGAGAAAGGGAAGAGCGAGAAATGCAAGACAACAGCATGAAGGGATGACTGCGTATGTGTGTGTGAGAAAGAGAAGCAGTGGAAGAGTGCAGAGGTGTGCAGGATTTCTCTGATCGCTGCTTATTAGAGCAGAAGATTTAACTGAACATAGAAAACAGACAGAGAGAGAGAGAGAGAAGGAGAAAAAAGACCTAATGCATTAAAGGGGAAAAGCACAGAATGATCTCAGATGTGCTGAATGTATTGTAAGGTCTAAGGTCATCTAAGAAAATGATATGTAAATCTGTTAATCTGGGCAGTAAGTTTGCAAGTTTGCAAGTATTTACAGTTACCCTCCAATACAAAGTTCATCTAATCAGTCCTTTATTATATTACAGCAGGTGCTCTGATGGAATTTAATAATTATATGCAATGACTGGAGTGCAGCGAGAAGTCAGGAACCAAACCTGTGTTCTTTTAAAGGGCTCATAATCATGGAAAAAAATTATTTTGCTTGCTTTTTTGGAAATAAAAGAGTTTTAAAATGTACTACTCACTTCACAGTCCATACTGTTCATATTTGCAAACTAAACTGCAAAAGCAGCTTGCTTTGATTTAATTTTTTTTGTATGTCATGAAAACATATTTACATATACTGTCAATTCAGCCTACAGCAGTTCAGCTCCACCCATTCATGCTGTACTTATAAGAAGTGGAATGCTTTTTAAGTAAATCAGAACAGAGCTCGTTTGCATATTTCTGCTGTCAGAACAAAACCTTGTATCTCCATTTTTGACATTTTTCAGTGAAAATGCCTGTTACCCTTTATATTGTGCGTAAATTTCATGATGAATGGACGAAAAGAAACAGCCCAAAATGACTTGAAATGAAAAAAGTCTGGTTCCATTGACAACAGTGATATATCAACCTTAAAGGCATGGTAAAAAATCAGCCTGTTTAATTCTAAGGGATGAAGAAAGATTGGAAAATAGTCATGTTAAAGGGGATTACGGCTGTTTTTGGTACATAAAACTACACTTACATCATAAGTGGCGTTCAGGGGGAAAAAATAGAAGAAAAATGTGAGATGTTTCCTTTTAACTGTATTATTCTAACCCCTTTCTGCAGGCCTCGCAGTGGACACTCCACCAGTGGAATGGAAATTAATTTTCATTAATATAAACTAATAAATAATACACCGTGGAAAGGTCTAACAACTTTAAAGAAACAATAAAAATCTTATGTTTATTTTTATTTATTCTAATTTTATAAAAGCTGTGTCTCAAAGCTGAGGATGCAGCCAAGGAAAGCTGTGTTACTCAGCCGCTATGTTACTATGGCGTTCCATTTTGTAAGATCCATTAAATGTGGCAAAGAAAGGATACGAAGGATACACCAGCTGCGTCCTTGGATTTTTCACAAATGAAGAATGCATCTGATGTATCCTTTGAGATGTTCAGTATCTCACAATCCCACACGTGCAGCTCAAAACAATTTAAAAAATGGCAACAACCGCTGTGAGTGGCCAGATGATGCGCCACCAGAGACTGAAATTTAATGTTTTTAAACATAAGATTGAAACGTGTCACGTTGCTTATGTCAGTAAGCTGTGACATGCAGTACAGTATGCATGACTGCTTGATTAATTGATTAATTAATAACTGGCTCAGTATATTGATTTATCAGTCTACTCAGGCTTTAGCAGAGCTCAGTAACACTGAGATTGATAACAGATCATCACATTGATTTATCAGTCTACTCAGGCTTTAGCAGAGTGTAGTAACACTGAGATTAATAACAGATCATCACATTGATTTATCAGTCTACTCAAGCTTCAGCAGGAACTTCAGTGTTTAATGAGTTGAGCTTCTTTAGAGTCTGTATAGTGTGTTACTCTATGCCATGCACTGATTTTAAAATAGTTAATAAACAAGTATTGGTAGTATTTAATATTAAAATGTATTTTATTATTTAGAAGGTAAGCATTCTAAAATTGTTCTTCTAAAAATAGTGCCTTTCCAAAATGTAACGTGCACTGAATACAGATACTTAATATGAATAAGAAATACTTGGGAGCTACAGTGGGTGTGTGTTATACCTGGCTTTGTCAAAGTATTTTCCGGTATAAGCCATTCCACACGCAGCACCTAGACCTTGTCCAAGAGAACCTGTGGCCACATCCACAAACTGCTGTTTCTGCAAACATATACACTCAGATATTTAGTCAAAAATTTTAACAGTCTGTCTTTTTGTGTCTACTAAAATAGTAAATGTGACATAAATTCCCTTTAGGACATCCAACAAAAAAATCACAACATTAATAAAATCATCATAATAATAAAATCCCTCAGGGCCTTCCAGGTCTTCAACAGTGCCAGCTTGACCTAATAAGCTAAAAAAGCAGCTGCTTAGGGCCCTGTGGCCACCAGGGTGCCCCCCAAATTTTAGGTTGTTATTGTATCATTATATTGTCCAAGATGCTTGAGTGAGTGGGAAAAGTTTAAAAAAGAATGTCTGCATCTGGAGCCGAAATACTGAAAAGAAAAACAAGGAGAAGAAGCTTAAAGATTAAGATAAAGGATGCTTTTTTTTGCTGCGTAAATGTAATCTATTTGATTTGGCTTGTGGTTGGAAAACAAGAAGTATTGGATCTGGGCTCTACCTAGCAAAGCAGGTTGAACACAGGCTTTCTGACTGAGTTTCAGCTTCACAAAACCTAACAAATACAGACACGGTTAATTTGTTTTACCACAGCGGGTAAGAATTTTCTCTGTTAATCCTGATGTGGATGGATGGATGGATGGATGGATGGATGGATGGATGGATAGATAGATAGATAGATAGATGCTTTTGCACATGAAACCATGATGTTTATGACAAACAGCCAATTGTGTGAAACATGGGGAGGAATCACCAAAAAGAAATAAAGAAATCAAAGTACTTAAATAAGTAGAAAGTAAAGCATTTATAACAGTAAAAAGCAAAGCTGTCACCACTGCCTCCAGGGCTAGCTTGAACTAAGATCTCTGGATTAGAGAGACACCTGGATATAAAATGCTGAGAAGATTATTTGTAATTTAAACTGGAACATATTAGAACCCAAAATAAGCAGCCAATCATAACACTACACAGTTAGCCAGTTATAAATATATAGAATTAAATGTAAAGACAGCTGTAGTTCTTTTCTTATTCCATTGTTAATTTTGGTTGGTTTAAAATGCCTAACAAACAATGACCCAATCAGAATTTCCTCTCCAAAGTATCTATGTAGCTCTTCCACTGGTTAGGACTTCAGGAGCTAAACTGAAGGCCTAGCTTGTCAGATTAAACTCTAACATCATTAAGTTGAATCAATCACGTTTTGATTTACATTGGGTAGGACCAGTTTTATGAGGGAAGATGTCACTGTAGTCCTTCTGAAAGTCCTAAATACATCACCGACTGTGAGTACAAGGAATATTCTATGAATAAGTAGAACAGAACAATAAAGATATTTATTCAAACACAAACTTGGGATAAAAAAACAATATGAGAGGAGGAAATGAAAACAGTATTGGAGAGCTTGGGCAAGTTTGCTGTATATATGTATATACTCTATGTGTGTATGTGTGTGCGTATGTTTATATGTGTCTATTAGCAAAAGCACACCAATCACAGATGCATAAAACACAATATGTATCTATATGTGAATAACCAACAATTATACTTAATGAAATCATCGGGATTATCAGATGTCAAAGTCTTTTAGGAGTTTGTGTGAATGTCCTAAATCTGGGAACTAAAGACAAACCTCTAGTTTTGTGACATACTAGTCATTACTAGATATGAAAGAAAGCAAAAGGCATGTCCAGGGAACATGGTCAGTTTTCTAGTGTAAAAGATCTGCTGTAGTGCATGATTTGTCCTGACAAAAAGCTTCTAAAGTATCACAATAAACGACACTTTTCCTCAACAGAACACTTTTACCTTATTATTTAAAGAGAAAGACCTTCTTTGTTAGTTTCATTTTCTTTAGATCAGAATAAGTATTATTTTTAGAAGTAAGATCTGCATTGGATGTAAAGGAATACATGAAAAATATTAGCATGAAGGTGGTGGGCACGGTTACCAGGATATGTATGTGCGTATATGTGCTTACTGGAACAGGGTGGCCCTCTAGGATGGAGTCGATCTTCCGGAGGTTGAGCAGTTCGCTCTCTTTCAGGTAACCTACTTCTGCCCAGACTGCATACAACACTGGAGCAGCATGACCCTGATATACACACACACACACATACACAGCATACAATACATGTAGACAGACAGGTTCTCCAACTGATGGAAAATGGACTGATATACAAACAGACAGATAGATTTATATTATTTCATGATTTAATGATAAAACAGAAAAATAAAATTCAAAGAGGGTGTGTGGAGTCAATGCAACTTTATAAAAATATAATTGCAATGGAACATGGTACAGTTATGTTCACTAACTACAGGTACTGAAGACGTACATTTGAGGATACCACCCCAGTGATAGTTTAGTACCTTTTTTGGGAGAGTGCAGATAGATAGATAGATAGGTCGGTGGGTAGCTGGGTGGGTAGGTAGGTGTGTAGGTGGGTGCGTAGGTAGGTAGATAGGTGGTCAGGTAGATGCTAGGTAGGCAGGTAGGTAGATAGGTGGTTGGGTGAATAAGTAGGTAGGTGCTAGGTAGGTAGGTAGGTGGATAGGTGGGTGGGTGGATAAGTAGGTAGGTGCTAGGTAGGTAGGTAGGTGGATAGGTGGGTGGGTGGATAAGTAGGTAGGTGCTAGGTAGGTAGGTAGGTAGATAGGTGGGTGGGTGGATAAGTAGGTAGGTGGGTAGGTAGGTAGGTAGATAGGTGGGTGGGTAAGTAGGTGGGTGTGTAGGTGGGTCCACAGGTAGCTAGGTAGGTAAATAGGTAGATAGGTAGGTGGGTAGGTAAATAGGTAGGTAAAGTGAGGAAGGTAAAAAGATTGCTAGATGAATGAATAAAACTATTTTTCAAAAAATGATTTCCCTATTGAATAACTTACAGTAGGTTTGTTTATTGTAGTTTATCATCACCATTGTACAAACAACTTCGTGCCAAATTCAGTGCAAATTCTTAATTTCCCTTAATTATTAACCAGTTATAATGTTGCAACTGCAACTTTAATGGCATTTATATATTGTGTGATACTGACGGACTTTCACAAGTGGGGCTGAAAGATTTATTCTTTTTGTATCAAAATCGCAACATGAAAAAGTGCAATTTTCAGATCACAAATGGGTGCAGTTTTGATTATAGTCTGTAAAATCAGCACAAACTTTAAGTGGGTAAATTTAACCTAATAACATGGAGCTTGTGAACTGATTGTAAATGAGTTAAACCAATTAAAAACAACCAAACTCCACTGTGTTGTGTCCATGACAACACAACCACAACTAACTGGCATCTTAACAAGAAGTATGTATTCTAAATTCAATCTGCCTTGAGTGGCTCCTCATGTCTGAGCTAGTGTTAACTGTCATGTATGTGGTGTGAAGCAACCCAATCAGGTTATCTGACACTACGTGATCAGAGAACACAATCGCTGTGTTGGAACAGCACATTAGCCTCACCAACTTGGATGTTGGTCTACTGAATGCATCACCTGAGATTATTTCAACTGGGTATCAGTTAATTGATCCTGGACGTTGTGGAGTTAGCATTTATATGTGAATGTGAAAACTGAGCTCAATCACTGTCGGTTCTTATAAATAAAGTGTTGATAGGTTGATTTATATTACAGCTACAGTAAAGCAGTGTGGTTTCATACACTGACTGAGCATTTTATTAGAAACACGTCCATGTTTCTACACTCATTGTCCGTTTTATCAGCTCTACTTACTTTTTAGCAGGACTTTGTAATTCTACAATTACAGACTGTAGTCCATCTGTTTCTCTGCATACTTTGTTCGCCTCCTTTCACCTTGTTCCTTAGTGGTCAGGACCTCCACAGGACCACCACAGAGCAGGTATTATTTGGGATGTGGATCATTCTCAGCACTGCAGTAACACTGACGTGGTGGTGGTGTGTTAATATGTGTGTTGTGCTGGTACGAGTGTCTCCACTCACTGTCCACTCTGTTAGACATTCCTACCTTGTTGGTCCACCTTACAGATGTAAAGTCAGAGACAACAGCTCATCTGTTTCTGCACAGTTTGTGTTGGTCATCCTCTAGTCCTTCATCAGTGGTCACAGGACGCTGTTGGCTGGATATTTTTGGTTGGTGGACTATTTTCAGTCCAGCAGTGACACTGAGGTGTTAAAAAACTCCAGCAGCACTGCTGTGTCTGATCCACTCAGACCAGTGCAACACACACTAACATGCCACTACCATGTCAAAATGCAGTGAGAATGATCCACACACACACATTCCGGCCACGCAAGCTGATTGGTTGAGAAATGTTCTAACTGTGCTGATATTTCACCATAACAGCACAGTATTTTCACAAACACTGTATCAGTCCGCTGAGACGCCGTTGCTAAGCAACAACTTTGACAGCTGTAGGTGACGCTCAAGCCATTTGAACGGTTTTACTTCTTGCTTTGTGCACAAACAGAAAATGGATACTTTTAAGATCACATTTGACCTACAGCCGATTTGGTCCGACTCTGAAGATGAAACTACACTAAATTCAGAAACTGTCATCACCACTGAGCGGGGTTTTCAGTCGGCAGCTGTGACAGAAGAACAACTAAACAACCTGGAATTAGCCAGAAATGAACCGAATACCATTCGCCAAACAAAACAGGCTGTAAGATGCGTTACAGACTGGCTGGAACAAAACAAGGAGCTGGCGAACAAACTGCTGGCTGTGCAGCGAGTGAGCGGAGTTCGCTGCTGTGACGTAGCAACAAGCTGCTTGTTAAGGAACTATAATTTGGCAGATGGAACTGCTAACATTAAAACTCATTAAACGACACATTCACGGCCCAATTTATTTATTTCTTACTTTATTGATTTAACTGTTGTATAAAAGCAATGGAACACCCGAGGTTGTGTTTTATCGCGAATAATAATAATGATGTTATTTCACGATCACATACTCCCTCTCGTGTTCTATTGCTTGACTATATAATGTTTTGGTGCCACAGACAAATTTTCTTTTTATCTTTAAGCCTTTGCACAGCAATGCATAGAGTCTTCTACATAGAGTCTACAGAGAACACACGTCTGCACATTTTAATGCACAGTTACTTACTAGTTTATTTCCTGAATTTAACATTTTGGAGAAAAAAAAACAAAAATGTGGGCTGTGTAAAAGTGACGGCACATTTTATACAAATAGAAAAACTAGCAGACAAACGTCATAAATGTTTGTCCTCTGTAGAGAATGTATTAACTTAGTTACACTATGAAAATGAACAAAATGTGTCATTTGACCAGGGGTGTTCAAACTTTTGCATGTGCCTATTTATAAGCCCTCATCCTCGCAGTGTATAAAAACAAACCGGTATGTGTGTGTGTCTGTGCTACCTTGGACAAAATGAAGCGGTCGTTGTTGCGATTGCGCGGGTCATCTGGTCTGTACTTCATGGTGTGGAAAAACAGCACAGACATGATCTCTGCCGCACTGCAGCATGATGTTGGATGACTGCAGTAGAGAGAAACATACACAGAAATTACACACACGTGTAAACACAGATGTGCAGTTAAATCTATTCGCTGGTAATTCCTTCCTCTGCTGTTATGTGCTTTTTATCTTTTGCTCTATACTCACACACATTCATTTGAACACTCACACTCAAACCTGCTGGGGGAGGGGTGCTAAGGCGTAGGTTATTTACAGTGGTGGACGAAGTACACAAATCATGTACTTGAGTTAAAGTAGAGATACCCAAGGTAAAATATTACTCCAGTAAAAGTAGAAGTCCTCCCTTTAGACCACCACTTGAGTAAAAGCACAAAAGTATTTGCCTTCAAATGTACTTAAGTATCGAAAGTAAAAGTACTAAAAGATTAATTATGACTCAAATGTCCTATTACCGTTTTTGTAACAAGACTCTTGCTTCATTAACTAATTTTAGGTGTAAATACTCTAGTGTCACTCTTGTAACACCAATCTTTTAATAGAATGTCATTAATTAGTCTGACACTGATGTCTATTAAAATTATAATAAGCATAAAACACTGAAGGCAAACAGTTTCCATTAGGTAGAACCAAGAGGCTATGAAATAACTTTTTGCAAACAAGCAAGGTTTCAGTTTAAGATTTTGCAACTCAGTTACGAGTTTAGGTTTAATAAAAACTTGCTTTAAACACAGGTTCACAGATGTGTTTTCCTTTACTATATTGCATCTGTAGGTCTCTGTTCATAAACATAAACTAGCCAAAACAAATTTACTATAAAATGAAATAGTGTTTGTATATAAAAGACACATGCCACTCACAACTGCATATTTGTACATATTTCTATATTGTGGTCTGTTTATACAAAGTTGGCTTAGTTCCATCATTATGTTGGAATATATATTTAATATACATTTATATATTTTTGAATATATATTTGAATTTGAAATGTAGTGGAATGAAAGTGAAAAGTCACCCAAAATGGCAATACTTCAGTAAAGTACAGATACACAAAAAACTATTTAAGTACAGTAACGAATTACATTTACTTCGTTACTCTCCACCACTGTTTATTAACATATATTTAAGTACAAGTTATTCATTTGCAAGCACCAGGAAAAGAAGCACAGAAACACTCATCAGAAGCCTCATCAAATCTTTCAGTATTTGGTGTGTCCACTTTACCTTTATTACAGCTTCCATTATTTTCAGGAGACTCACTTTTAGTTTTTCCAAAGAAATCTGCGGGGTATTTTTCCAACCAACTCCAGAGTTCAGTCTTAGAAATTGGTTGTATTTTCTGCTTCTCACAACCCAAGAAATGTCCAAACACATTCAATGACGTTGAGATCTGGACTCTGGAGTGGTCAGTTTATTTTTCTGAGATCACCAGCAGCTAGCACCTTCTTTGTTAGTTTGATCAGTAAGTTTTCTTCCTTTTTGCCTGTTTTATTTTCCTTGTAATGTTTTCTTGACAGCTCCACATCCTTTCAGGCCCATAATGTTGAATTGTCTTCTCACAGTGACAGAATGGACAGGAACTTCTGTGGATGTTTTCAGATCTGAAGTGAAAGTGGAGCTTTAATAAAAGCTTTAAGTACTGTTTATCTGACAGTGACAGGTTTGGTGGCCTACCAGTTCTTGCATGGTTGTTAGGAGTCCCATTTTCTCTATATCTTTTCTCTATAACTTGTACTCAATGGCTGTTTGACCACTGGAAATTAAATAAATGAAGGGTGGTCACTGACTACATGCTGGTATTAATGACGTGCAGACATGTTATAACATACAATAAAAATGCTGGCTGGCAGCTGGCTGCCTAACGTTGTAGACATGACTTGCGCAGTCTAAAATGTGTCACTTAAAAAACTTGCACTTTTTTTAGCCTGTCTTAGGTGAAGTGGCCATTACGACATAGCTTAAGTGATAAGACATGACTTTGATAATGCATTTTGTTAAATTAAGTAAAGAATTAGTATCTGTCAGTAAATATTTGTATGTGTGACGGTTTCTACAGCTTTTACTTTTCAGATTCAAAGAAAAGCAAAAATGTCCTTGGCATGGTACTGAAGTTGAAGGTTGTGGTTTAACTCAGCAGACTTGTTCTCTCTCTGTGTTCCCCTTTAAATCAAGCGTAAATGAGAAACTTAATGACTTAGGCTAAGAGCCAACATATACTCCAGTCTGTCGGTGAATGTCAGCCGGTATGAATTGCGTGCCACCAGAGCTAGACTTCCCGAGGGGATTTCTCTAGATTTCTGGACGTCACAGTAAGTGGACTATTGTGTTAAATATGTATCATGCCGTTACAATATCTCACCCCAGTGATTCAAGATAAAACTTCTGAAAACCTACATCTCTCTGTCAGAGGTGGTCTTTTCATTAGGCAAAGATAAACAACTGCCCAGGGCCCCCTTGAGCCAAGTTTCCTACGAAAATATAAATTAGTCATACTGTATGTGTTGATGCTAAATAGCCTATTCTGAGATATATATGCAAATTAAATATAGCTATTATTTGCGTATTGTAGAGATGCTTTTCACTAAGTTCAATGCAGCCCCACCCCTGTCGTAGTTATAATGGACTACTCTATGTTATAACATGATGACACGTGCATAAAGACAGACTGGTACGAACAAGGCAATTTAGCGATAATCTACATTATAGAGAGGGGGTTCTTCTAGATGTTCAGAGGGAAAATCAAATAAAATTATCCAAAATACAGAGGAAAGCAAAAAGTTTGATACTATACTCCCAAAGCTAGCTTTGCTTTTTCAGCCAGAACAGATCAGCAGAATATACACAATTCTATTGTCAGAGTAAATACTCAAAAAGTACCCATTACTTCTGTGTTACTCTGTTCTATAATGGCATATATTCTATACATACGTATATCTTGTATATCTATTCTATATTCTGTACTGTACTCAGCACTATATTACTGGCAGCTCATTCTGCATGTTTCAAGCTTTGTTTCTTAAAACTGACCACTAAATTATCTGCCAATATAGTGAGATAATGTCACTTAATAAAATTCCAGTGTCTAGTAGTACAAATACCTAGAAATAAGTTAAATATTCATATAATATTCCTACAACAATCTCAAAATAAAAAAGAATTAGATATTCACTTGCCAAGATAAATCTTTTTTTTTCCCTCAGTGTAGACGGTTGCACCATTCAGGAGCCCACTAACCTAAAACTGTGCATGCAGGTGCCCCATTTCTGTTTTTCTTTTTCTTTTTGCCTAGAGCCCCAAAATCACTAACTCTGTAATGAATAAGATGGCTGCAGTGGTCCAAATGACCAAAAAATGGAAATGCCAGCTCCAAAACTCAACAAACTTGTGAACATGTTGGATAGGTGGTTACATACAGTAGCACTGAAAGGTTTGGAATCAGTGTTTTCAATAATATTAAACTAAATTGGCTGTAGATAAGTGTATAAAAAGATTCTAATATGTTAGAATGTGCAGCTTCACAGAATGAAAATCACTAAGAAAGCTGTACAGAATCGAGATTTTATAATAAACTTAACAACCCTAATTCATCATTTGAAAGTGGAGATCAAATTTCAAGTATTTGAGTGAATATTGTTCATACAGTGTTTAAGTCCAGCTGGGTACATATAAACTACTGTAAAGAGTTCATTCACCACTGCAGGCTTTTTGCTGTGCCGTTTAGACTGATGGGCTGCGGCGGCCAAACGAGTCAGTACGGCGGAGCTACAGAGCCCACAACACAGCTCCCCGCGAGCCCCGCCCCCCTGCGCTACGATTGGCTTATAGTACACACACACAAACTCTCCGCCAATTGGTGTGCAGCGGGGCCTGGCGGCGGTATTGGACTGGAGCCGTGCTGCTGGAACAGAGCCGCGGTACCTTTCAATGCTGAAGCGGACAGTTTATTCGAGAAAACTGTGGTCGTTTAGGTGGTTAATAGTTATCTTAGCCTCTTGCATAACCCGTATCACAGATACCTCAAAAAAACAGTTTCGTTTCGATAGCTGAACCTGCTCCGCTCCTCCGCTCGCCAAAAACTTACCACTGCGAGTCGGGCTAGTGATGTCGACACTTGAACTCTGTTTGAGATCAGGAATTGAAGTCTGAAGTCTGCACTTCAAGCAGTTAGACACGGTTTTCTAACGGATTTTTCAGTGAGGCTGGCGGTGTTCAGCTCTTACCCGCTTCCCGCGGCGCTGGTGGCCCGGATGGAGCTGATGCGGAGCCGGTTGGCGATGTTGCGCAGCGCCTGCAGAGTCTGCTGGTCGGGTTTATGGTAGTCCTCCATTGGAGCCAGGCTGACAGAGAGCACCGAGAAGAAGAGCCGACTGCAGAATAGAGGAGTTCACTCACTCCGGGACAGAGAGAGAGAGGAGGATAAAGGAGAGCGTGAGGAGAGTGGATGGGGCTGTAGAGCTGGACAGACTGCACAGAGCACCTCTGTTTATAAGCGCCAGAATAAGGGAGGGGAGGGAGAGAGAGGGCAGGAGAATGACAGAGTCAAACTGACAGAGAGAAAGAGAGAGAGAGAGAGAGAAAGAGAGAGAGAGAGAAGGGCGAGAGACTTTGACTGTTACCTGGTAAGCATACACTACTGATGAATAATTTATAGTCACTGACTACTTAATAGGTCACTGTATAGGTGTACAATTAGAGACTGTAGCCCACCCCTGTACATCATTCATCACTAATCAGTTTCTGACCTCAGGACCGCTGTTGACACAGACATATGCAAAGGTTTGATTATATTTATATGTTTTGATAAAGTTCTAAGTGAAATAATTTAGTGCATCATCTACAGGGAATTTAAATATGGCAAATATTAGTTCACAATTTCTGTTTATTCGCTGAATTTAATATACTGGAAAACATAAAATGTGTGCCGTAACTTTTGCACAGGCCACATTTTATGTGCAGATAAAATGTGCAGAAGTGTGTTCTTTGTGGAGAATGTGTGAAAGGGCCTGTACCATGGAAAACCAAATTTTCCTTCAATATGTAGACACTGTCAAAGTTTAAAAATGTAGCTTTCACTCCTCAGTCCTCACAGTCCACACATGGAAATGAGGCTATAAAAACAACCCAATATGAATTCACTGTTTTTATAATGTCAAAAACACCACAGCATTTACATAAATCTATCTATTCAGACTACAGCAGTTTAGCTCTGCGCACTTAACCTGAGGGTATAAGGAATGTTTCAGTATTCACTGCTTTTTTTAACAGGGCACAATACAGGGCAGCTAATCAGAACATATCATTTACATATCTCAGTCTTAAAGACCCTATTTAATTATAAGGAGTAAAAAGAGGTTGGAAAGTGGTCATATAATATTGAATTATGACTGCTTTTGAGACATGAGCCCACACAGACATCAGAACTTGACATTGGGTGGGAAATTTAGTACAAGAAAAATTTAGCATATAGGCCCTTAATGTATTATCATTTGCAAAATAAACAAATCTTTTGACTAAGGGTGCCCAAATAGTTCACCAGACAAATATGACTGTATTTATATGGTGAACCATTCTCAATACAGCAGTAACACTGACTCGGTAGTGTGTGTGCAGCTGCCACGAGTGTACCAGACACGGCGGAGTTGTAACACACCTTTCACTGCTAGGTTTAGGGTGGTCCACCACCCAAATATATCTACCCCAAGAGCAGCTCTGTGGTCAGACTTGTGAAGGCTGATTTCAAACTGCTTATCATTTTCTACACAGCAGAATCCAAAAGCCAAAGTCCAACTGTGCAGAAATAAACAAGTGAATTCATCTCTTTAAGAGTTAATTCACCAGAGTAAGCGCTAACTCAGTAATGTAATAATTCAGTACTGGGAATTCTGTCCTAGTCAGCAAATCTGTCAGTTACCCAGTGAGGTTAGCTTCAGCAGTGCTTAGTGCTGCGTAGTTAGTTAGCATGGGGCTCTGTTCTAGCTGAGGTAAAGTGGCTCTGTCTGCTCTAATGCAGGCCCACTGCTGAAACTGCCTACCATGCTGCAGTCCATAGACGTGCGTCCATTAAATTAGGTTTATATCAGTTTACCACAAGAATAACTATAATAACCTAATGGGGCGTTCAAGCCTAAACTAACGTGTGGTGTTGTAATATTCTGCAGCATTGCATCCCTCAGCTTTATTGGTTTGATAGAATTCATGGATTTCTATGTTTGTGTTCTCTCACTACAGTATATGGATCAACTGATGTATCACTGATGTATAGGCTAACAACTACAGATGCGATGTTTAACTTTCTAGCAGAAATGTTAGCTATCTGGTTATCCTTCATTCACTGGCTAACGGGGAAAGAAAGCCCACTTTTGTGTGTCCATCCCAAAGCCCTTGTACTTCTTAAAGGTTTCTCCTACCTTCAAGATACATCATCAGAAGGGTAAATCCAAATCTTGAGACTACTGTGGCACAACTACATGAGGCAAGTGGGCACGTTTATAACTAGGCTTGGCAAAATGACAGTGTACATCGTTATCATGATAAATTGTCACAATACAATACAATATGCTTTTCTGACCGTATATATTATGGACGTTGTCAGTACTTGTAGATCACTGACCAACTGCATGTTACATTATAAACACAGCAAAATTAGTCCCATTAAAATTAATTTAGTCCAACATAGTGTGCCAAAAATTGAATAAGAATTATTGTTCAGTTTTTGACAGTGTTTTTTTAACATAGCATTACTGGTTCTTTTTCCTCTGTTCAGATGTTTGAAAAAAATAAATATTGTGACATATCGAGTGTCATGATAATTTCTTGAAGTATCACAATGTTATATTTTTGCCATATCGCCCACCTCCATAAGAGGTGTAACAAGTATAGTAGTGAGTTTGTATTCCATACTAATTGAATTAGCTGTGAGTGTTTGTAGAAAATACCATAGCATGCTGCACAAGACTGGAGACAAGCAATGTATTTTGACAAAATACTACAACTTGAAGTGGGTGCCCAAAGTACTTTGTTTCCCATCTTGTTTCTCAAAATTTCAAGGCAGAAACATTATTGTCCTCTGGCAGTATTCATTTAAGACATTAGCTTTACACCAACTCACTATAAAAACATCTTATGAGCCTCTAGATATGACTATAGTCTTATTCTAGCCTTTGCATAACTGCCCCAGACCTATGTACAATAACCTTTTCCAAGACTAATTTAAGATATGGTGGGCAATAATGGTTTGCTATAAATGAGTAGTTCAGCTAACGCACATCATCTGTAAAGCAAAGCTTTTTTGACAGCATTTATAACATACAGCATTCAAAAAACTGATTTTGCATAGAGTTTTCTTTTCGGTTATCTGTAGCATGAGATAAAATGTTCAAGCCACAATGGTGGGATCACTGAACTGTTGCAACCTGATTCAAGCTTATTGGATTGCCATCTGGTGGTTAATATTTGTCTAGACAAATGAAACAGAATATCATTTCAGGGATCGTCATGGAACTGTAATCCAAAGGACCTTCAGCCTTTAGCTGAACGCATGCAAATGTTCTCAGCTGAGCAAAAGCATTATGCTTTAGAAATGAAAATGACAATGGCCAATAAAACCAAGGCATAATAAGTTTGCATAATTTTTCAGAGATGGTCTTTGGTCCCAATGGACTGTAGATTAAAACTTTGCTGGTTTTGACCAATGGAAACACTACAGGAGACACATTGGAATAGATGTATATATATTGCCTATACAAAATATCAGTTACCAGGGATTAATTATGACTGGATTCTCAGGTGCCATTGCTGTTATATCTGAACTGAAAACTAAACGGAATGTCATGGCATCTTTTCTCATCAGTTAAACTAAGAGAGGTGTAATCTGTTGATTATCCTTTGACAGTATATTATGTAACCCACTTGGGCTGTTTCAGCTTGATGAGACACACTAGACCTACACGTTCAATAGTCTGTATACACCTGGATCATCATCATCATCATCATCGTTAACCGCTTAGTCCAGATAGGGTCGCGGTAGCAGTTGGGAGAGCAGAGAATCCCAGGTGACCCTGTCCCCCGCAACTTCCTCCAGCTCATTCCCGGGGACCCCAAGCCGCTCCCAGGCCAACTTGGAGATATAATCCCTCCAGCGGGTCCTAGGACGACCCCGGGGTCTTATTCCGGTAGGCCGTGCCTGGTACACCCCCACTGGGAGGCATCCCGGGGGCATCCGGATCAGATGCCCAAACCACCTCAGCTGGCTCCTCTCAATGCGGAGGAGTAGCGGCTCTACTCCGAGCTCCTCCCGGATGGCCGAGCTCCTCACCCTATCAAATAGAGTGTAGCCCGCCACCCTGCGAAGAAAGCTCATTTCTGCCGCTTGTATTCGCGATCTCATTCTTTCGGTCATTACCCACAGCTCATGACCATAGGTGAGGGTCGGGATGTAGACCGATCGGTAAACAGAGAGCTTCGCCTTACGGCTCAGCTCCCTCTTCACCACTACAGTCCGGTACAACGACCGCATTACTGCTGACGCTTGTCCCAGCCTGCGGTCGATCTCACAATCCTTCTTCCCATCACTCGTGAACAAGACCCCGAGATACTTAAACTCCTCCACCTGGGGCAAGTCCCTTCCCCCTACCTGGAGTGGGCATACCATCCTTTTCCGGGCTAAGACCATGGACTCAGACTTGGAGGTGCTGATCCGCATACCAGCCGCTTCACACTCAGCTGCAAACCGCTCCAGTGTGCGCTGGAGGCATCCATGTGATCCAGCCAAAAGAACATCATCATCTGCAAATAGCAGATTCCCATCCCTTCCTGGATCGGGGCCTTGTTGTGGCGGAAGGGCTTGTGTGGTCTAGGGATCTTCAGAGCTAAGTCGTCGGGAGCAACATGCTCCTGGTAGGGTCTCCCAGGGCGAACAGGTCTGGAGTGAAGACCCAGACTAACTCGATCCAAAAACCTCCATGAAAAACGGACACATAGCATCGTGTACCCTGCCCGGGAGAGGGTCACCGGGACCTACCCCTGGAGCCAGGCCTGGGGGTAGCGTCCATCGGCGAGCGCCTGGTGGCCAGACAGCCCACGTAACCCGGCCGGGCTCAGCCCGAAGAGGCAATGTGGGGGGACCATGTGGGCCCACCACCCGCAAGGTCCAGCATGGGGGAGTGGTGCAGTGCCATATAGGCAGTGGGAGATTGCAGGGGGGCCCTTGGTGGCCTAGGCCCCTGCGGCAGAAACTATACGCCTGGATGTTCAGGAGTATTAACAGGGAATCTGTCCACCCTCCAATGTGCGACTCCAGTGTGCTGTGGAAGTTAGCACACTGGAGTCGCACTAAAATTTAAAACTTTATTGACGTCCAAATATGGACCTGACTATACAGTGTAGCTGTGTGAAGCTCCCACACATGGGGCTAAATCTGCCTATAGAGTAGTACTCTTTGATGTTGAGGACATAAACCAGTGGCAGTCAATTCCAGTCTTCAAAACACTACTCTGCAGTTTTGTGCTTTGTTTCCTGCTCCAGCACACCTGACCCAGCTCATAAAAATACCTGATGATCCAAACCAGATATTCTGGAAAGGCATTTAACTGTATTTGGCTACCAGAAGCTGTCTAATAGCCTGTGTAATGTAACAGATTTGGGAAACTAGGACTAGGAACCAAAAACGCTCACAAACACATTCATCTGGTGCTGTAACTACTGGGTCCTACTGGGACCTATAGCAGGTGGGGGATATGGCAACCAGGCACCCTAACATTGTCGGTGGACCCCTTATAATGAGACCACATCAGCATGTTGGAAGCAGAACTGTTAAATTTGAAGACGTTAGCCAGGAGATCTGGGGATGTATGTTTTATTTAGCATTAAATTAGGCTGACAGACCCATCATGGTAAACATCCTTTCTAAACTCTGCATGGGGACATAGCATAGCATTTACCCTCATATTTAGCAAATCTATGTTTATGCTGTTATAAGATACTGCTTGTAAACTGCCCAAAAAGAAGAAAAATGACTAAAAAGAAAAATGTATAGGAAAGGGCAAAATTTACGTGTTGTGACAGTATGGCTAACAACAGAAAGCAAAAGACCGACCACTGCTGTATCAGTGCATTTCATATAATTGTAGCACTTCAAATAAAAAAATAAATGTAGGTGGTGAAACAGCTACAAGTCTCCACAATAACTGGAGCTTTAAAGCTGCTCATAGACTCGCTAGTGGCATTTCCATAAAACAAATCTTATGCATTGCATTTTCCAAATAGTAAAGTGTGGTTCTGAATTTAGTTAAAAATAAAGCAAGGAAGATGAATCCATTGGCAGCATCATGCATGCAGAAAAATAATTTATATATTACTGTTACGTTTATAGCCTTCCTTAAATTGTCTCAGGCTCTGTGTGTCTAGACACAAAACGCAGAAATGATATCTAGATTTAGCAACCCATAATGATATGCACCACATAGTGGAGGCATTTGACATGGCACTTTACCATAGAAAAAGTCACACCAGAATGCTTATATGATATCCAGCTGCAGATGATGTTCACTGTATCTTGAATAATTCATTATTCAGGCTGTAAATCCATGATACTTATTCAGATACGTTGTATATGTGCTTTAAAAATTATTTATATTTCCAGACACAACCTTGTACATGCAGCTATTAATCTATTCATTTAGTAAAGCAACTGCTAAACTACATGCTGATTTTAGCTAGCAGTTTAGTTGAAATGATTTTGAGGACCCATATAATCATAGATTACCGACGTACAACAAGGTGCACAATTTATAGAATCAAATGAATTTTCACTTATACTCATGTTATATAATGGTGTGTTGTACTGTTGTCCAGTGGAAATAACCAATAAAGCTAATTGCAGTACATAATACTGCAAAACCTTTCAAGTTGTACTGTTACCATATCTATGTTTGGGCCCATATCACTTCAAGTAAAAGTGCAGGTTTAGGGTCACTCTCCATCCCAATTAGCTGCACTACAATATCATTACAATATAAAAGGCAAAAAACTGACCATAGGTCAGCAATTGTGATCTGAAGCAATTGTGATATGACCCATGATTACCCTCACAGCGCAACTCCCAGAGTTGCCAGTATTGCACACGCCTTCATGACCAGGGATGAGACAGAAAGGGCCAATGCAGGAGACTGAATGATGGACATGGAAACGAGAGTTGAAAAAGACAAAGAGAAACTAACCATAAAGACTAAGAGGACATGACACGATGATGCTGGTAAAAGAGGACAAAAAACATAAGTGAGGTTGTCACCTCACAATTTAGATCAGCGGAAACTGCATTTGCATATCATAAGTGGTGACCAATCGTTGTGGCTCAGAGGCGGGGCAACCAAAGAAGTCACCATGGTTATGCAACAATCATCCCAAGGACTGACTGCTTTCATAGCAGTGCTGACAGAAAGCAGTGGTGTGTGCCTTTAAACAAGTCACTCTGTGACTACGATACAGCAAGGGACCCAGTGCGGCTAGCCCAATAATACTGGAATTTTCTGTCCTAAATGCAGTCTAGCTTCCATTTGCCTTATAAGCAGAGAGTCAGGGCTCCTGAACAGAGTCTAGGAGTCTGATGACAGTCCTGGAGTTCTGGGTTGGTGGCTATAGCTTTACATTGTTGAGGTCTTTGGAGAGGCTCTGCAAGTACGCCTCGTGGATTGCAGCGAGGAAGCGAGCATCGTTCTGAAAGAGACAAAATGGGAGCAAAACTCAAAAATGTCAAAAACTTCTCACGTATAAAAATGTAAATTGTAAAAGCTGACACCTTACAGTTACGTCTCCACGTTTAGCCTAAGAACTAGTATTTAAGTCAGCATTTAACAAAAGGCCTATGAGAGGTATAAGGCTCAGTGCTTTCTCACCCAGAGAAGTGTCCTATTTCATAATATTTTATTTTGATAGTGTTACTGCAAAAACACAACATCACTGAGAAGTCAAAACTAACTATGTGCAGCTAGGCTAACCACGATGGCCGAAGTTAGAAAAAATATTTCTCTGCTCTCGCTGTTCGTATGCACAGTACGTCTTAATGCATCAACTATTTTTGTTACACCGGGATTCTTTTAAGCAGGGATGCACCAAAATGGGAATTTTGGGATGATGCTGATTATCCAGGATTTTTCATGTACGTATCTGCCGATGCTGCTGCCTATTCATAAAGATTTAGAAAATGGAGAAATAGAGACTGCATCTGTGTGGATTTCAATTCTAGGGAAACATAATACTTATGTGTAGAGTATTACAGGTGCCTTAAAATAAATAAAATGCTGATATTTTGGTATAGTGGCCCAGCATCACCTAAACAATTTTGCTCTTTCAGAGTGCAATAAATACACAAATATTGTTCAAATCTAAACAGCTGTCCATTGTTGATTTTATTTTTAAGAAGCAAACATCTGCCAATATATTCAGTTATATTTGAATGCAACATTCCAAAACCAGGAGACCTGAACTGCCACCTATGTGGCCACTACGCCTGCTGCAAACCTTCGACCTGGAAGACACCTTGATGGTCAAAAATGAAGTCACTCACTGATAATAATGAGTTGCATTAATTTATGCATTCAAGCTTATCCTTAATATTGTCTTCTATTGCACTGTATTATGTGCAGTTATAAAGCCTCAACACTACTCCCACACCTTACAGTGTCCAGGATCTAACCCCACCACAATAAACACGAGTCACTGAGTGGGCCTTATCCTCAACAATCAACAACAAACTCAAATGTTCTGTCTATAAGTTCGTCTGCATACCTTTATCAAATGTATCAGAACGTCTTGTAGCTGCGTCTTGTTGTACAATGCTGACGGCAAGTCTCCACTCCCCAGTGTGTTTGGTGGTGATGGTGGAGGGGCAGGATTTCTCTGAAGCTCAGTGACCTTTGTAGTGGACTGCTGGAATGCACTGGGAGAAAGCAGCAAAGAGGGCTCCTCCCCTGGCACTACTAGCCCTGCCTTCATTGCCTTAGACAAGAGAAATAACTCATTAGTTATTACATTTAATTATATATTAGTAACTACAAATCACTATGTATTTGTAAGAATAAAGGATTTAGAGATCACATATAAAGAAAAGGGAATAGTTCACAAAGTTCATTTTTATAAGCACTCTGATCTTCCTTTTACTCAAAGTTTCATGATTCAGAACGACTTGCTTTCTCCTTTTGTTCTCCCATTTCTGAGACTACAGATGGCATCATTGTGTTAGCAGGGACTTGCACCTTGCATGTTGTGTTGCTGCATTCTGCATATTGAGAAAATTATAATTTAATAATCTAATAAAAAGCATACATTTTCAAAATTTGCTGTAGAACTTTTTTCTTCTTCCTTTTTGGTGCCTGAAATTTGAAAGTTTTTAAACGCTAGCTCAAATAAGCAATATCACAAGTTTGCAAAAACTGCCTAGCTTTAAAATAAGCTATTTTTAATTGAAGCCCTTAAGACGAGCATCTAAAATTGGACTATCATCCTCAAACGACAAAAAAAACTTTACTACCCCGTAGGAAGAAATACACAGCTAACATCACACAATATGAAAGCGTTATTTCATGACAGATTTGTTACAGAATCAACTCAGATTCATTCTTTTTCCCCCTCCGTTATTCGTTCCAGCATTTTCTGCTGATATGGGCCCGATACCCATATGGATTAATGCCATCTCTAAAAATTACAATAAAATAACAGTGGGACAGAATGAAAGATCAGCCTGTTGGTTTAAATGTTCACATCTTTTACCAAAGTACTACAATGAGCACAGGCTTTAAGCTAATCTGACTATTTTGTAATGTAAACATACTGCACCCTCTAACCAAGTTTTCATATTCACTGCTAAATTCTGTGTCAGTACTTACTGGAATGGGTTTAACAAGACTCTGGGCCTGAGGCTGTGCAAAAGTATCTGCTTCTTTATTCTGCAACAGAGAGAGAGAGAGAGAGAGAGAGAGAGAGAGAGAGAGAGAGAGAATAATACTGAAAGTCTTTAGAAACGATTGATAGAACACAGTCAGTCAGTCTGACCCTTACCTGTGCAGATGCTGTGCTCTTGCTGGTGAACACAGGTGGAGCTTTGGGTGTTGGCTCTCTGAAGCTCTGTGGTGTGACCAGTGTGCTGGGCATAAAGTCAGACACTGTAGCTGGCTTGGGAATTCCATGCCCGTCACCTTTGTGTGTGTTAATGTACTGAGGTGCAGCTTGTGGACCAGTCTGACCTCTGGGTCCTGCGAGTACTGGAACGTTCTCAGCCCCACTCTGTGCCATCAGTCTTGGGGAAACGGAGTGCTTGGGATCCCTGGAACCTCCAGCCTGGAGGAGAGGTACCAGGCCTGGACCTCCAGGGTCCGCAGTGAGACGAGGAGTGAGAAGAGGCTCCAATGGGAGGGGAGGAGGGGCGTACGTTAGCCCACGAAGGAAGCTCTCGCCGGGTGTGGGGTCAGAAGGGTTGTGGGCAGGTGGAGCTGAAGGTGCTGGGTCTTTAGGTAAAGAGCTGCCAAATAGCTCCTCGACTGTGATCTGCTTTACCACACTGTGGGTGGGCTGTACACAAAGAAGAGTACTGTACTGAATGTATTAATCAACCAAAAATGCTAACATGGCTAGCAGTGAATGAACTCAGGTTGCTGAGAAAGTGCTTCTGCTCCTTACACCTAAAGTTTCTATCCACAAGTTTGTATTTATGCATTATTTTTAATTAACCATATTTAATCCACTGGTGACAAGGCTTATAAGGGAGTAGGAGGGAATCACCTGAATCTAGGATTGGTCGTGTCAAGCAAGTATTCAATGTCGTATTATGTTCGCCATTCTTCTCTGGCAGTTCAATAATTGTTGTTGGTTTATTTTGTTTATACTTTTCACATTTTCTATAATGAACTTGGTTAGTGGTTAATATAGATTTTCTGAAAGGAATAGGTCAAAGTAAATGTTCCTGTCTACCATTTTTCTGCCATCTTGTAACACAAATAAAACCATGGCAACCTATAGTTTATTCATTCAACATGTGTGGTGTCCTCAGTAGGCTAACTAGTGCATGAACAGATGATGCATAAATGAATTGCTTTCTGAAAAGTCATGATTGAGAAATAACATTCATTTATCTTTGCATGGCCCAGGAAGTCTGGTTCTGAAAACCAGACACCAGGCAACCCTAGCTGATTCAGCTGTCAGATCTGAGGTGCATTTACAGTGTCCTAGCACATTCAAAAGATGTGAAAACATCCTCCCTCTTAACTTCGCTTCATAGGGGTGTTATAAGAGCATTCATAAGTGAAATCTAATTGAAATTTACTTATGTCAGTATTTGTAATGATTAGTACATTAACATCCAAGCAATCATACTGATTTTTGAAGGTAAACAGTCACGTTTCAATATAATGAGCTTCTGTTGCAGTTCTTCCATGTCACATGAGAACACCTGACAAGCGGAATGGATGTTTCATACATGTAGAAACATCACCTGGCTTCTGACTGGGTAAATGCATCGCACTGGCCATATTCATTTGCATAAAGTTCAGCTGTGGTCAACTTGTACTTGAACATGCTGCATCCCCCTAATTTGATGCACCAGCACCACACGGCCACATTTGACATAACTGAAGCTTTCCATAAAAATGAATGGGATGTGTTGCTGGGCTGGAGCAATGTAAAAACAGTTTTAAGTAAGCCTCGGCCACACTGGACTGTCACCTCACTATTATCTTGACTAAGGGGCTGTTCCTCCATTTCGCTGTATCCATTATTACTGCTATATTAAAAAAATATACTTTGTAGAGCTGAAAGAGAACAGTTGTGACTGACATAACTGTACCTTCTCCTGCTGAGCAGCAGCAACTGTGGGCTTTGTGGTCTCTGCTTTAATTGGGTCTGGAGTCTGAGCAACATCCGTGTTTGCCTGCAGATCTGTCTCATTAGACTGACTCTACACACATACACACACACACACACACACACACACACACACACACACACACACACACACATTACATTATATTAAATTACAAAAAAATCCTATTTGAAGTAAAAGGCTGCAAGTCATACTGTAGCAGTTGCTGGCCTACCCTGTGGTACTCCTCCTTGGCTTTGCTGAGCAGTTCTAGTATATCCATTGGTCTGGTCTCCACACAACCATTTGTTCTGCCTCGATCTGGAGACGCCTGCTGCGCTCTCAGTGCCTCTTGCTTTACTATTCTAAAAACATACTCAAAGAAATGAGCCTTAAAAAGAAGCAGTGCAACACTATTAGGGCGGTGCTGGTTTGAATGCTGCAGATTTTGTCCACTAGAGGACAGCGGTGCATTGTAGATGAACAATTTCCAACACCACAGTGGACATTTGTGAATACCTGATTCTACATACGTAGAATATATATAAAACTGTGTGGTTCAAGATGCTATGGCTAACATACAGTACTGTACTGATAATACAGTAGCATAGCACAAGCAGCGCAAAATATTCAGCAATAGTACTTCAGCAGCATCTCAGCTGCAGCAGCACTAGACAAATGCAGTGCTGATAAAACAGCAACATACCAACAACGGTAAAAAAAAAAAAAAACAATGAGTTCCTTAGAGCTACTGAAAGCTCTAATGAGAAACTGCAAAAACAGTGGCATGACTATCCTCTAAACTCCTTTACAAACAGAGAACTCTAATAGTATACTTCCAGTTACTTCCAGTTCTTGCTAACCTATAATTTAAAAGATTCTTATTACGGAGGCAAAAAGCTGGTCACTTGCACTCATGAATTGGGACTTTAAAGCATACAGATTTGGGCTTTAGATATACGATATGTCACAATATTTATTTTTTCTGACATGATAAAACAAAGATCCACATTTTAAAAGTACCATCAAAAACTATGAATTCAGTATTACACACTGTGCTGCACTAAATCTAATTGAACCGGACTAATCATGCTCTTTTTAATCAACAAGAAGTTGGGAAGTGTTTTTTAGGTATATACATGATATGTTCAGAAAAGCAGATTGTGACATATTGTGATGAAATTTATCAAAATAATGACAACTATAATGACAACTGTCATTGTCCAAGTGGTGTGCAAAAATTTGAATACCCCTGGCCAAATTACATTTCTTGTTTTTCTAAGTGAAAAATAAGTTAAGACATACTCTAGAAGGAACTTAAATATTAAATTGGTTAGCAAATTTTAGTGCACAATTTCTATTTATTTACTGAATTTAATATATTGGGAAAACATAAAACATAAAATGTGCTGTAACTTTTGTCTCTAAAATGTATTCAATTCAGCAAATAAGTAATGAATGCATTAAACAATTAGTGTAATTAACACATTAAAATGTCCAAGTGTATTTTCTGTAGAGAATGTGTTAACTTTTTCACTTAGAAAAGCAACAAACTTAAAGTGACGAGGGGCACTCAAACTTTTGCATACAACTGTAAATAAATTTACAGCAATCAGTTTATTCAAATGTGGCTTTAATAGTCAAAACTGCACAGGTGCATCTGCCTCAATACACCCAGATGGCACATGTGAGAGTAACCTGGTTGCTATGGTAACAGGCACCCATGGCAACAAGCTCAACCTGTTGCTAGGCTCCCGTGTGGGTTCCTCAGTGACCGATCACCCGAGGACAGATTGCTTTTAGCCAGCGCTTATTTTCTTGCAGCAATGCACAGTATATTTGACCTAGTAAAAGGCTGGGTTACGTTTAATACTGTGTAATTCATATTCATTTGATACTTACTGTACCATTAGCTGTGCTATGCGCTGGCAGTCAGCCTTGTCATAGAACCAGATACTGTAGATGCCCACTGAGGTGAAAGAGAAAAAGAAAGAATTAATATTAGAGCATCTTCACATAGTTCTAAATCATCATTATATTGCAGTGAAAACATCATTCTGATTGTGTATATAAATATATTTTAGCTGAGCTTTACACATTGACAACCCCTCTGAAATAAGTCCCTTCACCTTACAGTTCCCATTCAAGCCAAGAAAACGACTGGAATTCCGTTCTGTCTTCTTTCACAGTGACAGCTCCAGCAACTTTTCCCTGCACATGCCGCTCAGAGGAAGTATACAATCTTCAATCTCTCTCTCTCTCTCTCTCTCTCTCTCTCTCTGAGGAAAACGTCAAGACCTTGGAGACTTTATCTCCTACCCACTCCTCCGCCTTCTTTCTCCCACAAGAACTTTCTAGAACTCGCATAGCGCACGATCAACAGAGTCACGGCTGAGGCACCATGGACGGAGGTCTGTGCCTTCTTCCACAGCTCTTTCTTCGTCATACATTTTAGAAGCCTCTGCAAGTATAATGGATATCTGAGTTGGATCGAATCTCACAGTGCAGCCATTCACCTCAGGGGCTCAAGCTCACTTTGCCGGTGAGGCTGCTGGATGAAGCCAGGAATCAGGAGGAACTTTGGAACATTCTGAGGGACATGTCCAACTGGCTGGAGAATGGATCTAAGCAGTGGTAACTGCACCGAGAGGATGCTTCTGCTCGGGGTGGCCTCTAACCCCCACCATGATCTCCAAGATCTCCGCCACAAGGGTAAAATTGTCTTTCAGAAGACGCTTGGACGGTGTTTCAGCGGTCCAAACAGAGGTAAGATTGTATCCCAATAATAGCCTGAGTTAGCCTAGAGCTTTTCTTAACTGCTACCAACACTCAGCACCACAAAACATTAAATGCTGATGCAACTGGAGCATAACATGCAAGGAACTTGAGGAAGAAGAAATGCAGCGGGCTATAATTGCAGTTTAACTCGTATAAAAGAGCACTTGTTCTGCACTCTGAAGCAATGAACACAAACATATAGTCTTCATATACTGATGAACCCTTATCATTTCTCTAAACATTTGTACAACATGCTGTTTCAGTATATACTGCAAAATTTATTAAGTATATCGCAACTGCTGCACTGAGGATTTCAAGTGACACTAAAGCAAGTCTAAACATGCACCATCAGTAAACTTCACACATTTGCTACAAACTAAACTTTTGGCTAGAGCTTGAGTCACTGTGGGCCCCAGGGGGAAGAGTGTTTGCAGTGAATTATAAATTGTACATCAGGATAAACAACCATTTACACAACCAGTAGTATATTTTACACCATTCTCTAAACTCAATAAAAATAAATAATTAAAAAAAAAACAGAGAGAGAGAGAAAAACTATGATACCAAGGACAAACAACGGGTCCTCAAATGCAACCCAAATGGCCTCTTCCAAAGGTCAGGATTCAGGGCTGGCCTTAATATTCATGGAAAACCATAAAAGCAGCACACAGACATGATCTAAATTCTGTATACAAACAGCAGCAGAGACCCTCATTCCTGAGGAGCTGCATATCTGAAGTCTATTTGGATAAAGTCCCTTAGATCTCAAGTACAGAGGTGCAGCTCCATTTCAAAATACCAAGGGACCCTAAACTACAACAGTTCCAGTTAGTATTGGAGTCTAGACTGTCTCATTCAATTAGTGTTTGCTACTATGGAAGAGCAAAAGTAATTAATAAGTAATTAGTCACAAAAAGCTCTGTGACTCACATGTCAAAGTTGGGAAATCTCAGTAAAGTGACAGTTTCTCAGGCAATCATTCAAGTTTCACAAATTCAGGACACAGCATACTAAATAAGATCTTGAAAAAGTTTCAGTCAAATCAAAATTCTTAATTCTGATCAATAGTATTTCTCTGTGCAAACCCTTGTTTTGTGATTTCACTAAGAAGCTGAAAGGCTGGTAAAGCAAAAATGGTACTGTTCATGCTATTTAATCTGGGCCCACATTCATAAAGCTTCACAAAGTTGGAGTGTTCATCAAATATCTATCTGTTCCTGTCAGCAAGATCAGCCCAAATAAGAAAGAAATCTGATCCTAGGTCAGCACTCCTACTCCTACACCTAAGAAGCTTGAATGCAGGCCCTGGTCTCTGATGAGTCTATTGGCAGAGCACTCCTCTCAAAGTTAACTACTAATAGGTGAGACTCCTCTTTGTGATAGCTTAAGTAGAGCCCACAGTGTATGCACTTTTTGTAGACAGACACACTTATTTCCCATTGTTTTCAATAGGAGAGATCTGTAATATGCAGCCTGCGCGGATGTGTTTTGTATGCAATGCTGGAGGTGCTCCGAATTGAAAAAAAAAGTTGTTACAGAACAAAAGGCAATAATCAGATTACTGGCACAATATAGAATAGGATGATAACAGCAGGATTACGTTAGAGCAGTATACAGGCAAGCTCATCGCTTTTTGTCAAAATTCACCATTTTGAATGATAAATCTAGTAGGTTTGAAGAGTTTTTCATTTTTCATATATATGCATTTTAGTACAGGCATGTCAAATTGGTTGCTCTTTGCCAAAGTGCTGCAGAGATTAGTGTTCACCCTCATATAACGCTCTGAATTCAGTTCATGATAGCCTTGCTAATTAGCTGATGAGCTAAATCAGGTGTGTTTAATGAGGTAATGTTCTGAATCTGCAGTGTTTTGGTCCGCCAGGACTGGAGCTTGTTTTAATAAGTCTTATTTTTATTGGCAGAGTCAATAGATCAGCTCCCACTTGGTGTGAAAATAATGCCCTTTAAACCTACAGAACACTATTTCTGTGGACTGTTGAAACCATGGAAAACTAAGGGACCATCTACAAATTACTGTGCAAACATCACCAAAATCATCTTTATTTATATGACTTTACAAAGATAAGTAAAACAAAGATAACAAAAAAGTAATCAGATTATGTTATTTTAATATATCTTTTGGATTAGGTTGCACAATTTTTAACAGGTAATCAGTTTATTTGTAAAGAAGACGATGCAGTGCACCTCACATTTTTCTGAAAGAAATTCCCCAATTCAGTTTTGCAAAGATGAAGGAGAAAACAATAGCAGTCTAAACCTGAGGCCAGGGGTGAACACTGCCATGACGTGGCGGTGTGGTGACCTTGGTGGTCCACCCTGCTGAGCTGGTCTGCCTGGTAAGGTAGATGGTGTTCTATTGGCTAAAGAGAAGTTTAATATGATTTAAATAAGCTGGTGTTATACAGAGAGTAGCTAAACACAGTCTAGACTGTGTCCAGAGACATATTGTTAATTTTGGCCACAAGATTTAGTGGTGTGGCGGCACAAGTGACCAGCGCAAATTTTATATTATGTGTACCCCTGCCTAAGGCAATAAACCAAGGACTGTAAAATGCAGATCAGATTTATTCCTTTTATCCTCTTTACTGTTGCAGCGTTTGAATAACAAGAGTAACAAAAGCTCCCCTTTATCTGATCATAAAAACCTCAATGAAGCTGAAGAGCTCTGAAAATCAAAGGAACATCTGGATTCTGGAAACAGAACAATGTGTTTCTGTCTGACACCTAAATTAACTGTGGCAATACAGTCCTAATCAAAAGATGTGCTCAAATTATGTGCACATAGGAAGCCTGTGTTAGCCTTCACCCTCCTAGCGTTGGCAGTATTGTGTGATTGGGGGAGTCCTAACTAGTGGGTCGAATTGGAGACGACTAAATTGGGGATAAAATTGGGGAAAAATAAAATAAATAAATAAATAAATAAATTATGTGCACATATCGTCTAGTAAGAGAGAGAGTTTAGGGTGCTGGACATGAACATTTGAAAAGTTAAAGCCCACTGTATGTAGGGTGAAACATAAGATTAGACCACCTGCCTTGACTTACTATTACTAGACAATTCAATGGCATGGATGACTGAAAAGCCTCCACAGTCAACACAGAATACGTAAACAATACAGTAACATGGAAACTCAACAAGTGTAAAGTTCCAAGTTACCATAATATGCAATACAGTGTATTAAAAAGTACTTCTGAGATCTACAGTGCATGCAAATGCTTGCAATTAGCCTAGCTGACTCATTATGCATGTCACAAGATTTTCAATAGTTTTTATTTTTATTTAATTTTTCCATTTTAGTTTTAATTTCAGTTTAGTTGCAGTTAGTCTTAAACATTAATAGTCTTTTTTTGGTTTTTATTTTTTGAAAGATTTAATTTAGTTTTTATTCAGTTTTTTTTGTTGTTTTTTTTTAGTATTATCATGATGAATGATTTGACAGGTATTTGATAAGGATGGACTAAGATGAATACAACCATAGACTGAGCATTCTTTAAAGATAGCTAAACAAGTTCCACTTCTAAACTCTTAACACAACAAAAAAAATGAAAAAGTTTTTACTCAGTAATTCTATTTCATTTTAGTTAGTTTTGCCTCTGACAATTTAGTTTTGATTTAGCTTTTGTGGTTTTGAGAACTGTCATTTTTACTTCTTTACAGTTAACATTTGCACATTTTTCACTGCTATGAAACAAAAGAATGCAATAAAACCCAAATACCAAATGACTGAAAATGGCAGTTCCTAATACTGTTTAGATACTGTAAAGGTAAGGACTTGGACAATGTAGGAAACACTGGATTGCTGAATTAAAAATCCTCTGTGACTGATAGGTGAAAAAGAAAAAAGAGGGAATAAAAAAAAGTTTATATTAAGCTGGTGCTCAAACATTTTTCTGTGTACTCCTGTTTATGTCCAGTGCTCCTTGGCAGAAAGCTTACTGTAGAACCCTGTATTTTTATTCTTAAAGAAATGTTGATACACTATCATATAATGCGGATTTATTCACTTCTGGGGAAACACCTAGAGATTGATCAGTCATACATTAACTTAACAGAAAGCAGATCAAAGCCTGTGGGAAAAACTTTAAAGGTTTGTTTGTTTTACTTTGGAAAGACTAAACTATGATACCATGCCTTCAATGGGAAAAGAGAATTTAGCAAAGGAGTTTCTCTTGGGTACCGTATCTCATGCTTTTTTCCATCTTTGAAGTTGAATTAGTGCCCAGCAGCAATCTTTCCTTCGTCAACTTCAAGAGTATGCCCGTATTTGGTGGGGAAATTAAAATCTCTCAGCCCTGTGATGATATAACTCTCTTAAAAGATAGAGATCAAATTCTCATTGCGCACAATGTTATTAAAATACCCATCCAAGCACACGATCTGAAGCTTAACCTACGCAGCAAATGAAAAGCTCTGGGTCTTTATTACTGTAATAATAAATCACTCCTGGTATATTATGGACAATGTAAAATAAACAGAAAGTCATATTACAACACATCCTTTTCCAAAAATTATTCTCACTGTGCCGGTAAGACATGACAAATCACTTATTATAGGATGTTTTCAACAACAGTTTACACACAGAGTATATAAAACCTTATAGTTTTAAAGTACCTTACTGGTGCAATACTGTACATGTAAAACTTATGTATACATACATAATACATCAAGTATATGTTTTTTCCTCATCTCCTGTCCTTGTTAGCTTTTAATGAAGACCTGGATGCAGTTTGAGCAAGTTGAAAGAAATTTTACAGAAATTATTTGGGTGTTATCTTTGCCACTCTAGTTCATAACCAATGAAACAAAATCTGGACAACAAACACGTCTTGGCCAATCAGCTACATCTGGGGTAAGCAGAAAATTGTGTAAATTTATTGTACAAATTATTTTTTGCTGAACTATTCCTTTAAGAACTGACTGCACATATGGCTAATGATCTGACAAAAGTGACGCTAACACATCATTTTATAGAGTATTCTAAGCTTAGTGCCTGTAAATGTTACAGCAGTATACCTACACATTAGGTTTCATTCACTCAAGAGCAAAACTTTACAAGGAACTGGGTTATATAATTGTGTATATTAATACTTTGATAGGAGACGGTAGCATATTTCTAATGTGGACACTTACGGCTTGCGTTCCTGTAAAGCAGGAAAGGGTCCTGAAGCTGAAACTCCAGGTCTTTATTGATTGGCTCCACCAAGTTCTCTGTGCTCAAACGGTTCATAATGGTGAACCCATGATGGGGTGATGCTGACCTACAGAAAGATAAAGTTAGGCTCTAGCTGTCCAAGACTATATACAAAATGAAACAAACGTAACAGTAGTAGCTTAGTGAGTGAATGTTGCTTGAATGCTCATTGACTTTACAACTGGCATGAGAGGTAAAAATTGCAGACAGTATATTTACCTGGCATAAACAAATAAGGTGCCTTCAATGTCAGTTTTTTCCTGTGAAAAAAAGGGCTGCACATTAATCTGTGAAATTGTTTCACACTTTCAAAAAAAAAATAAACGGAAACTCTACGGTATATAAACCCATAGTGACCTGGGTTAACTGAAGACTTCACTTACAACCATACAACATGCGATCAGCTACATTTTTAACTCAAAAAGAGGAGAAATAACAGCCCTTCACTCTTTAATAAGAGTTTGATAAGTAACATTATTAACATTTCCCCAGTACATACAGTTCATATATGGACACTAAGCTGCAAAAATGACTGACTGTGAGTACATTAATAAAAACCAAATATTGGCATATTTGCACCCATTCGGGGGGGGCAAGACGGTGGTGGGGTAGGTAATACGAGTTTTGCGTATCTCTCTAGATATAAAAACGTGTGTGACAAAGACCATCATTTATTAGCAGAAAGAGAAGAGAGCAAGTTGTAACTGCATCAGAAAGAACAAAAGGTGAGACAATGTAACCTACTATAACCAATGTCGGGGCATGTTCCCATCTGAAAGTGTGAGGTCTGAACCACGGGACATGTTTTTGACATTTGATCCGGTTGGTTTTTGGTTTCACATAGCAATTTAGTGAGCGCACTAAAGAATTTTGCATAACATACCTACGCCCTGACACTGATTGGTTGTAGAGGAACGTACATCTGACATTCGCATGTTATCAGTTCAGTGGGTAGCCTTTTCTGCTTAAATGGAGTAAAAATATCCTCTTTATCTCATCCTCTCAGAAAATGAAGTATAGGTTTCAACATTCTTCTGTGTTTAAGTTGACTTTTAACTTTTTCGATAGACCAAATTCTGATTAATTATTTCGCCTACTCCTCTCCCCATGTGCTACCATCATTTTTACTTCTCTCCTGGTACTTTTTCTTCTTCTATTGTTTAATGGCTGATGACAGCCTGCCTTCCTGTAACTGGTTCGAATGTCTGAACCATACAAAAAATGTTTTCACACTGCAAATGAACTGAACTATGGTTCAGTTTGAACAGGACCGAGACCACCTCTTCTGGCCAGACCAAATTTTGGTCTCTTGGTCTGGACTGTGTCCAAAGACCAATTGTGAGCTTTCAGCTAAACGTGATTTGACATTCCGGAAGATCTTCGCGAGTGAAACAACAACAAAGACGAACAAATCGAGCAGGTGTCCTTTACTGTATATGGATGCTGAGTCACTGGAGCAGCAATGCTACAGTTGGAAATGGGCTTTGAAGCTGCATGGAGTAAAGGAGGGGGAGGGACACCAGAGGACGTAGCAACTGACATTTTTGGAAAGGTGGCTCCAGAGCTATGTGACCAATTGAAGGAAGGGGTGGATGTTGTGCATTGTCTTGGCCCAGGAAGAAACGATGGGACTCATAGATCCATCACAATTTTATTTGCGTTCCGCAGCTTGAGAGATGCCATTTGGAAAGCAGCCAGACGATGCAAGTTTCTATGAGACAAACTGCGACTCTCCAAGGCCCTATTACCAGAGGACAGAGCTGCAAAAGAGGAGCTTGGTAAAGAAAGCAAGTGATGAGGGGAAGAATGCCTTCTTCTATAGTTCATTTGCTCTAAATGATGTGATGCAGTTCCTTGTACACACTAACTCACTGATGCTATGTGACAGCATTACCTTAAAACACAAGGTTTAGGTGTTTTATATAAGCCTTTGAAACTTTTTGCAACCAGTTTTTTTTTCAGATACACTCACCGCACAATTTAATAATTTTTATGATTGTTATGTTATGCCCATAAATTATTCTTATTTTCTTGATTTATAATTTTTTTCAGTCCCAGGGTGTACACTATGTTTTACTGGTTGTTTACCACTCACCTTTCAAGCAAGTCAAAAGCACAGTTTTGACTTTTCTTATTTGTTCGTATTAGTGCAAATACATGACATTCCTACTTTTTTATGCTACGGATGTTCCATTTAATTTATTTTCTGTTTTGTCTTTGTCAGAGGTCTGTGTGATTTGGAAAGTC